CAGAAGGGGAAAATCATTTTTTCATCGATCGCCATGCTTTTGAAGATTTTTACATTTTTGGACTCGTGGGACCTTAGAACGTCAAGAAATGAGAAGAAAAAGTTGAGGGTTTTTTTCTGTATGTATGGATGTTAATGTATGTGCAAGGGCACGATTTTTTTCCCTCCTCTTTGAAGCTTAATAACTCCCCTGTTTTTTGTCAAAAGTATCTGAAATTTAGCGGGGAGGTTTGTGTGTTAGTGGTTAAAGGTCGAGAGGGTAGGGAGATACAGGGGAGTCTTGGTGGTCGTAATTAAAGTACCTTTATTAACGCTTTTTATAGGGATATTTTGAATCCAAATGCAACGAGTCTGATATGGTGACATTTTATTTCTACAAGATACTCATGCTATACAGAGAATTTAGGGATCAAGGGATAGTGTTCAATATGGTTCCGAATCTGAATATGTAAAACCGGAAGACGATGAACAATGTGTTCAGTAGCCTACTGTAATCGATCCTCTATGATACTTCTCACATGCAGTGTGGTACTATCGAAGCTCCCAAATTTGCGTCATGTAGATGCACCACACTTTTCAAGTATCCTCCACAAAACACTGCTTTTTTGGCTGCTTGCAACACCAAAAGTACCGTAGTGACTAGTTTTTGGTAATGCATTTTATGGTAACGTATTTTGCATGTTCTAAAATGTTACGTAGCAAATTTTGTTGCATTTGAACTGCTAAAATACTCCCTGTAGACAGCAAAATGGATGTTCTTTAATTACGATCACCAGGTATGTAAACATTTTACGTATCTTACCCTCCAATTTCAGAAAGTAGGTCTTCATAATATAAACAGACAGCGACTTGTGAGTTATTCTCATTATGAAGATGGAAAGAAGCAGATGTTAATCGATCCTAATCGTTAAGAAACAATTTTCCATCATCGTGTCTATTCTCATTTCCTAATTAGTAAATATATATAATAAACAAAATGACCCAAAAGTTAGTTAAACATCGTAAAGATCAAATTGCTGTTTAATTTTATTATCAAATTTTAAGGGCGATAAAGCCTAAGTGGCTTCAATAAACTTAATTACATCGGGTGTTCGCAATATATTTCTAGTTATCCAGCAAATTCTGTTAGAGGGTCCGTATTGGAAATAACACAAACTGCTCTTGCAAACAGTATCGAACGGTCACGCTATTCTGTAACTGTTTGCAAATACTTTATACATACAAGGAAGTTTACTTGTCGAGTGTTCCACTTTCTTAACTATCTATCACTATCTGCTTACATTTCGGATCTGGTTATTTGGTATTTGTTTTGTATATTACGTAAGGTAACTTATAAATCCGAATAAAGAGTGGTCTACTAGTGGTGTGCTAGTAAATACTAGTGGTCTAATACATGGTCTACTACCATGACCAACTGCCAGTGTTTACTGGTTTTATCCAGTAAACACTGGCAGTTGGTCATGGGTTCGTGCCTCACCAATGGGATGGCCAAGTAGTTTACCGGTTTTTCTTCACGTCGGTAACACCTAAACGGGCCAGTTTCCCATAAAAGATCTTCCGGGAGACATTCCACTTGACAGATTGCCCATGTGCCACGTTGCAATAACCAAATAAATCAAACTTTGAATGATCATCGTTCGAGTGTATCGATACTTTCTGATAATTAAATGGGGTTGTTATATACTAAACTATTTTCTTTTGTATTCGATGCATGATAAACGAATACGAGTCTTCATACATCACAATTGAGAAAGAAAAAGAACTAGAATTTCTCCTTTCAGAAGCTATTATGCGTTTTACAAAATATATGTCATTGATATGGGGTCAGAACGGATCGATTTACCCCGACTCCTCGATTCTTTTTTTTTTTTTTAAATTAATAAGTTCAAAAGGTCGGGTTGTGTCACACTACGATTTAGACCAGGTCAATATTATCTTACGTGATCGGTCGGACAATAGACGTAATCCACTTTTGCGCTCCAATTCCACTTTCCTGAGTAACATTCGAACTTCACCCATTTACGAGAAATGAGGAAAATACCGAAAATTCTACCTACTTTTCGAAAATGGGTGAAGTTTTATGGGTTTCGAACCCGTCAAAAAATAAAAAAAAAAACTTATCTTCAAAATTGTATACTTTACATTGAAATTCAATATATATCCAGTTACGTTTTTGCTTATTTTTCATTTGAGAAAGGAAAATCTCTTATTCCTCGTTATAGCGTTTTCATTATAACGCGATTTCACTTTAAGCGGAACCAATACCAGTCGACCCTCCTATAACACTGTTGATTATTCCGTTTTATATGAATTCCATGTTGTACGAGTCATTTAGATTTTACAAATTCGTGAGCCATTCACAGCCCGGCACACGTATTTGTAAAATCTAAGTGACTCGTACAACATGGAATTCATATAAAACGGAAAAATCAACAGTGTTATAGGGGGGGGTCAACTGTAAATTGCGTAATGCGAGCGATACTCGCAATTTTTGAGAATAAATAAATATAATTAAAGAAAAAAAACCTCTTCGTTAGGCTATTGAAAAAAGTAAAGAGTAAGACAATTATTTACAATACTTTTCTAAAATACCAATTTTATTATTGTTTATTAATAATAATAATATTAATAATTGTTATTATTATTGCATAACTAAGATAATAATAATGTTGTAATACTCATTAAAGTATATAACAAATGTAACATTTATTTCAAAATAAAATAAAAAAAGGAAAGTATTTAGGTGGAAGCTCACTTCCTTGTTTTTATATTTATTATACTATCTGCAATTGTTTCAATTAAAAACTATAATGACGATGTCAATTTGTAATACACTTACAAAATGTCAAAAATTAGACAATAGTTTTTTTGTATTTCATACAAACTCAACCCATGTACAGTAGCAGAATTTGTAATCTATTTACAGGAGTTATTAATAAATTCTGGTGTGTCTTTTGTGGAAAATTGTGTACTGTATTATGGGGATTGACATTAAACTTTGGCGGTTAATAATCGAGGGGGGGTCATCAGCCATCTCGAGTGGTGACTGTTTTGGTTAAGGAGACGTGCCACATGGGCGATCTGCCTAAGGGGATGCTTCCCGGGAGGAGTTTTATGGGAAACTGCCCCCTATTTAGGTGTTATAAACATAAAGAAAACCCGGCAAACTCAAATGGGCTGGCCCATTGGCCAAGTGCGAATCCACGACCAAGTACCAGTGTTTAATGGTTTTATCAGCCATTGTTGGGCCGAGTGGGGACGGATTTAATGAAGTTTTTATACGTTATTAGCTTATACAATTTTTATAAAATTCGTCTCTACTCTCAAAATTAAGCTTTTCTTTTTTTTTTTAACATTTTATAATAATTAATAATATAAAAAGTTTTTAAAATAAAATATAACAACANTGTCCATATCGTCGTTCTCGGACAATTGATTCGAAAGTGTACTGCATTCGAGTAAACAAATTGCGTAATATCATCAAACAGAAAAAGCCGGCCAGAATTGATAAAAAAAAAAAAAAAAAAAAAAACAGGTACACAAAACTCGTTATTACTATAAACGAAAGGCATTTTTTCCAGGCATAAAAACTGACCTGATCTTATTTAAATACCATTAATCAGATTTTATAATTTCTGTAGCAATATAATAGTCGATATTGTGAAATTTTGTAGTTTATTCGGTTAATAGGCTCTATTATAAAATCTGCCCACTTTTTAAAATTCTAAATATTTTCGACATTTCTTTCGTATTTTTTTTGATAGTATTTATTCCGATTATTCTTCTAAAATAATTAATTTCCTTAGTGTTTTGAGTAAATATTTATTGTAGGTTTATAGAAATAATAATAATAATAATAATAAAGCGTTTGTAGTTGTATAAGCATTACTTACATAACTATTTTTAAGGTGTGCGTATTATTGTGTGTGTTCAGACTATTCGCGTATATTTAAGTAGTATTTAGTTAATAATGCTGAATACTTAAACCCAAACCAAACCATACATGGTGTTATTTGGTTACAGCAATGCGACACGTGAGCGATCTCCCGGGAGGGCTTTTATGGGAAAATGGCCTCTATTTAGGTGTTACAAAAGGTGAAGAAAATCCGGAAAACTCCATTCGGCCAAGCCCGTTGGCCAAGCGCGAACCCACGACTAACTAACAGTGTTTTTATCCACTTCGTTACCGATGGGTAATACCGTGTGAGGAATTCGCTAGGGCGAAGAATCCTGATCCCTCCCTGTTTTTTGATAGAGATAATCACACAGTTACATTAAATACCGATGTAGTATTACTTTACCAGTAGCCGAGTGGATAAAACCACTGAATAAGTCGTGGGTTCGCGCCTCGCCAACTGGCCGGCCACGTGGAGTTTTCTGGGTTTTCTTCACCTTTTGGCGTAATGTCACGTTGTTAAAACCTATATACGTGTGTAATGTCGTTAAACATTATAAGCGCATATGCAAATCTCGTATTTATGCATCGCGACGAGGTTTACAATTAGATATTTATGCTCTCATTGCATGAATATGCAATATTACACGCATTACGGTGCACGAAATAGCTTATATGAAATATTGGAATTTTTCTATAATGTGTTCAGTATTTGTGAACGTAGCGCTTGATTGCACGTAGTAATCGTTCACATTTCATTTAATGCACATATTTTTAACCAAAATTAAGAAGCTTTTAGAAGAGCCCGTGGTAATTTATGAAGCTTTCTAGAAATCTGAAAAAAAGGGTCTAATGAAAGTTAAGAAGGATAGAAAGAGACCCGTAGCCGTTTTTTTACATTTCTAAAACGTTTTTATACGTTTATTTAACTCTAACGTTACTCCCTTTCATCTGACATAGACGTACCGACTCGTGTCTATTCTATCCCAGCGCGGACTATAACAGATTTTAATAATTAAAAAAGCATTTTAATCAATACGTATTGCATATTTTCATATAGTTCTTGGTTAATTTGACAGCCATTAATGATATTATTATAATTACAGGATTTCAAGTGACTCCAAAATTATCGCATCTCTGTCCAGAAAGTTGTCTTCTGATCGTAATCGGAGTAATTATCGGTCTCCTCCTATTTTACACGGGATTGACCAAAGTGGGACCCTTGACTCCGACCATCTTTTTCCTCTTCTTGCTTCCACCCATAGTTTTAGATGCGGGTTACTACATGCCGAATCGCATGTTTTTCGATAATTTGGCAACTATTTTATTATACGCCGTGATCGGAACCGTGTGGAACGCCATCACCATTGGATTCTCTCTTTGGGGACTCGGACTAACCGGCTTGTACGGTGTACAAATGCCTCTCCTGGATACTATTCTGTTCAGTTCCATTATATCGGCGGTGGATCCCGTGGCCGTTCTTGCCGTTTTCGAAGAAATTCAAGTAAACGAAGTGCTGTATATATTGGTTTTCGGGGAATCTCTTCTTAACGATGCAGTCACTGTGGTAAGTATTCATTTATTTCCTTGTAAGACCTCTTGTTTATGTATTTATATCCACGTAAAAGAAATAGCATTAAGCAGAAATTACTTGTTATACCGTAATTCATTTTTAAAGTTCTGCGCGTTATACAATAGGGGATACTGGAGGAATCCCTGATAAATTTTAGTATTTGTCACTAGACCCGTTAGAAATACTTATATCTCTTTATATTAATTGATATTCCAACCTGTTGTCTACTATATGGTTTATGAGATCAAGAAGTCTAATAACTTCTAATATAAAGCTAATATCAGCAATATTCGCCGGATACAATCTCTTATTTTTGTAACCACCAAAAAAAAAGGTTTGTAGGTAATTTGCTATTTGTATAGCAATTTGGAAACCTACAACGAATCTGATAATGATTGCATCGTCGTTGAAATTGCACGATCAATATAAGTACGATGTGTGCCAACCACTGGTATTCATTCGGTCGTGGATTCGCTCCTCGCCAACGAATTGGCCACGTGGAGTTTTTCGGATTTTCTTCATGTTAGTAACACATAAGACCCAGTTTTTCCATAGAAAGTCCTCCCGGAAGGCATTAAAAGAACTAATTTACAATCAGTGGCCGGATGCCGAGCGATTAAGGTGGGAGGCTACCGTTCGGAGGACCCGGAATCGCGTCTGGACGGATCAAAAAACCCCAGGAATTTTTCGGGGAGTGGTCCGTCTGAATTTATTGGACCTCGTTCCTCACCACCCGATCGCCCCAAAGCGGGCCTAGCTATAATGGGCGTGCTAAAAAGAAGACGTCTTAGTGCCCATAGAGTGAAAAGAATTTTTAAAAAGACTATAGAAGGAAAAAAGAGTGTAAGAAAGATAATTAATGCACTACATTTTGTAGAAATTAAAATTAATACAAGTTCAACGCTCTGTATTATAAAAATTTAATACGCCACTTTTCCTTCCCAGGTTCTGTATCACATGTGCGAAGGATACGCGGATATAGGCACGGAAAACATCCTACCTATCGATTACGTGGCCGGCGTGGCATCCTTTTTCGTCGTGGCTCTAGGAGGAACGTTCGTAGGAGTCATATGGGGCATTTTAGCCGCATTCATATCTCGTTTCACTCATCACGTTCGCATCATAGAACCTCTGTTCATCTTTGTTTTGGCCTATTTATCTTACCTAAGCGCCGAACTCTTTCGGCTTTCCGGGATACTAGCGTGAGTTTACTTTTCTAAACTTTCTATCGATTTTTTTTCGAGAAAATTCCATATCCGAGCGTATTGTTTACAGGTTAACATTCTGCGGAATGACCATGAAAAATTACGTGGAGGAAAACATATCTTACAAATCTCACGTGACGGCGAAATACGGAATGAAAATGCTGGCAAGTTCGGCAGAAACCATTATCTTCTTGTTTCTTGGTGCCTCGACGGTCAACGAGAGGCACGAATGGAACACCTGGTTCGTCATCTTCACCATCATTTTCTGTTCCGTTTACAGAGGATTGGGTGAGTGTCCATTTCCACTGGACAGATCTTCGAAACGCTTCGCGCCATTCGTTTAATCGAACGTATTGTATTTTTAGGTGTCATCATTTTTACCGGTATAGCCAATAAATTTCGTCTTCATAAAATCGACAAAGTGGAACAGTTCATAATGGCTTACGGCGGTCTTCGAGGGGCAGTGGCATTCGCTCTGGTGCTAATCATATCGGAAGAAGTCATACCCACTAAAGACATGATGGTAACTACCGTCATCGCCGTCATTTACTTCACGGTCTTCGTCCAAGTAAGTACTAATTCGCATTTGTTTCAAACACACGAAACGGTGTTTATCAATATATTTTTACTTTGTTAAAGGGAATGACCATCGGGCTTTTGGTGAAAGCGCTGAACGTGTCCAGAAGTCAAAAGATGAGATTATCTATGAACGAAAGGATACATATCAGGGTACGGACACTTTTATTCCAATCATTCGTTTGTACCCGCCATCGTTGCATTAATTCCTACTTTTTTTTCTTCAGCTGATCGACCATCTAATGGCTGGAATTGAAGATCTGACCGGACATTTCATGGGAAATCGCAAGATAAGAGACAAGTCTGTATTAATTTCTCTTGTAATTTTACATACCGAATTTAAGCTTCAGTTTTGGTACGGTGCGGAATAAATACTTCGTATTTTACTTTCCCAGCTGTTATGTATACGTAACAAGGGAAAGTATTGTGATCGTGCCAAATTTGACCATTCGAGCGTCTTTGCAAATCTCCACATTTTGAGATGCCTCTAACCCCCCCAAAAAGTCAAAAGAACGGAAAAAATTCCGTGTGTGTGTTTCGATTAACATGCGAAATTTCGCCCCCAAAAAGTCAAAAGAACGGAAAAAATTCCGTGTGTGTTTCGATTAACATGCGAAATTTCGCAGGGAGGTTTGCGTGAGGGACTATTAAATCTTGCTGTTTAAAGGTCGAGGAAGGTCTCGAGTGGGGTCGAATTTAACGAACATTTTACTGGCATTTACAATTTATTATAAAACTCGTTTCTGCCCTCAAAATTGAGCCTTTTGCCATTTTATAATAATTAGATATAAAAAGTTTTTATAGTGAAATCTCATAAATAAAATTGTGTGGCGTCATCTCTTATGATTTAAATACGTTTTTCTGAGAACTAACAGGTTCTCATATAAAGAATTCGCACTGTATTTTATGATGGTATTGTTAGATACAAATTGCAATTAGTAAGGCATTCGAACTCGCTTCCCTATTAAAAACAGTGCGATTTCCAATATTAAACTTTCATAAAAATCGAATAATAAACCCGTAAATAAAATAGTTTCGGGTATTTTATTAAAAGATACATATAATTGAAAGTTTTCTGAGAATTTTCTCTGCTCTCTTCACAGATTTCGCTACTATAACAACAGATTCATTCGTCCGTTACTAACGAGAGATTCCAAAAGTGCCGAACCGAAGATATTCGAGACTTATTCGAAATTGAATCTAGAAGACGCCATGAACATGGTACAGCAAAACGGTAACGCCATCAACTCCGCCATGAATAATTCCAATCCTTCTTTGGCCATGATCCTCAAGTACTACGAGAAAAATGCCAACAAAGGGTACGTTTATCTTAATTTTGATAAATTAAGCGAACGAAAAAACTTCGAATCTCTCTTTTATTATGCGCAGACTGGACGATTATTCTTACACCGAAGAATATTCTCCTTATAACGACTATTCCATCCCGTATAATACGAATTTCGTCAACATAGACTTAGGAGAATTGCATTATTCGCCTTCCAATAAGCATTTGGCGGATGCAGAATTGCATCACATTTTATCGGACGCCATGTTTCAACCTCCGAGAGTTACGGTAAGTTATTCGAATTCCCTTGCTTGTTAATTAATAAATTTTGAAACTGCGAAATTCCCTCCAACAGAGACGACGTTACAGTCGAAGCGACGTGGAAGAAACCAACCCGGACACTAAATTTCGTCATCAGTTAGGCATTAGGATGCCCATGAGGTATTTCGTGTCGGAAGGTAGCAAGAAGAAGAAAAAACCGAGATCGCCGCGACCCAAAGAATATTCTCAATACCCCTCTTACGGAATAAATCCGGCATTCGAATTCGACGAACCCGTCAAGAACTACAAACACGGTGAGTTTTGAGTTTATTTACGACTTCTTAAATACCGACAGAACGATATTTTGCCAATAGATTTCACTAGTGGTAAATCATGAGCGAAACATTTTTACAAATTATTTTATATTGTGAAACATACATAGATATAAATTTACATTTTACAATTAATATTATCTTTCTAGACGTTGTACCATTAGCTAAATGTAATTTGGTTATCATAACGTGGCTTAAATGGTGTGAGTTTCTTAATTCATACTGCTAAATCCTCTGTCTGCACTTGTTGCACGAATTGTTCCCATATCTCTCTTTCTGCCTGGTGGACACTAAGAGGGTCTCTCTTAGTAAGCCCATTATGGGTTCGGCCAGGCCCACGAGGTGGAGGGTAGTGAGGGACGGAGCTGACATATATTCGGACGAAACCCCCTTCATACCTTTTGACGATTCTCAGATCTAAGAAGTTGGATTTTTGGGTGACATCAGAGATGCTCGTGTGCATTTGGACATTTACGAGAAAGGAACACGCGCTGTTTGTTATAAAATTCTTGAACGACTTAGTTGCACATTTGAGTTATATCACAAGGGCAACTCCAATCTTTGAAGTAAGACAGTCATGAGACCATAAAAATCCCTTATCACGCAGAAAGCAACTATCATCAACTATTGATAGTTAGCGCCAGGCCTTATGATGATGATAACCGAGAAGCCGATCTTCTAATTCATTTTTGAATAATTTGGTGATTCTTCGTCAGGTAAAAGTTTGGGTGACCGTCAACTGGGCGACAAAATACATGTTTGGTGATTTTTCTAAAGAAAACAATTCTTTTCCATTGATCCGGTAAATTTAAATAATAATTTTTAAGAAATGAGTAAAAGTCTCAAAGAACAGTTGATGTCTACCTGCAAAATTAACAAATATACAAGGTGCCCCAAGTTAAACTTGACATTTCCCAGCTGGCTACAGCAAAAATTATTCATCAGAAAGTCATGAAAGTTTAAGAATAAGACAATGGGAATTTTTAGAGCAAAAATAGTTCAGCTTGAAGAGCTGAAATAGTGCCATATTGACCTGCAAGATCCCCAGACTTGGATTCATGAGATATTTGGTTATTGGGCTATCTCAAAGACTTGGTCTACTGTGATCCCATAGCATGTCATGTGGATAACATTCCAAGGCATACACTGCATGTAACCATTGAACACGCTGTTTTACACTTTTAGATGGTAGCAGACAATGGTGGTTATCATGTTTTTAGGTCATTAAACATTGCTTTTTCAGATTTAAAAAAATATTTATCACAGGAACTACATGATATTATAAGAAATCTGTATTTGAATAATAATTAATTAGTGAATCCTATTATTTATATTTAATTAATAAATGATTACTTGAATATATTCAACTGAAATTTAGTGCATAATTTATAATTAATATTTTATAACTTCATATTTTGATAAATAATGCTGTTTGCTGCATTTTCTGAAGTAACAGTTTTAATGAAATTGAAAAATAAAGTATTCGGTTACTAATAGAGATTTCTTTTAAATATTGTATATTGTTAGATGAAAACAAAAATCCAGTATATAAACTGTTTGCAATATGCATCATTAAAGTGGTTTAAATTACATCAAAGCATGGTTTTCCAGATCAGTACTTGTCTATAGACTGTTTGTAGTAAAGTTTTAGGTTATAATAAGTTACGTATACTATCAGAAATGTTATTAAACAATAAATGTTGTGTAATATGTTTGTGGAGTGAAAACATACTTTAACACAGTAATTGAAATTAAAACTTTCATAATAATTGAGAGTAATGTAACATAGTTATTCATTAGAATATACAATTTGTACTATGTTGCTTAATAATAGAAATATTTTATAATAAATTTTATTTGTTGGTATTGTCTACTATTTAAACTATAATTAATTTATAGAGAATTATTTGCATAATTTCCCTCATTTAGGAACTTTCTTTTCTCTTGATCTAATTTTAATTTATAAAAATGTTTGCTCTGAGTTCTTATTTGCAGTTTGTGTAATGAAAAAATGCATATGAATATTAAATATCTCCAAATTTCTTCTCGCAAAATTATTTTAAGAAATATATTTTTAATTTCAAAACTAAATAAATTTATCTTTGGACTGTGTCATTCAAACCATTGACATAGGTTTTTATTTTGAAATCTATTTAGTTAAAGCCTTTAATTATATGTCAGAGTAACCTCTGAAAATAGAATATATTTGAAATTATAAAAGGCAGTCTGTGATTCAAACTGGAAGTACACAGCATGAAATCTATACCATGTCCTTGGAAGTAAGGACACAATATGGCAGTTCCATAGGAAACATTAGTGTCCTGATCTAGAAAAAATTCCCATCTTCTCATTAACCATTTCTGACATAAACTAATTAATGATCCTACACTACATTGTTCTAAAACATTGCTTTTTCTAAAGACCATGACGCACTAGACTATTTTTGTAAGAGAAAAAGTCTCCCATAACCAATGAGCGCATAGATTTATCACCTGAGTACATCTCATTTACAATACAAAAATAAAAATGGATTCGTCACCCAGTTGTCGTGTACCCAAAAGTTTTGCATTACTGTATTAATACGATCGATTTTCCATTATATTTATTTATCGAAATATAGCACAAATCATTGCACAAAATGTAATCGTCAATGTGTATTAGCAAAATATTCGTGTGCTGTTAATTTTGCTAATGAATTTGGGAGGAACTTTAGATACAGTCCCTCATTAGTTTAGAATTTACATTCACAAGCGTAACAGACTTTTGAGCCATTCTGCATAAAGCTTAAACTACTAAAAGTGACAAGCCAATGTTTTTCTCTTCAGAAAAAGGAAGATTATCGTTACCTCTTTCGACCTATCGAGGAGATGACAAGTCAAATGATTCCGGTCCGTGGACCACGTTTAAAGCCATGAAACGTATAGAATCCAATTCGTCGTTAGATGACGGAATCATCTTTTCCGTTCCAGAACAAAAAGAGGAGGAGGAGGAAAATCAAGAGGAGAAATGTAAGTTACTAAATATCTTTTATTACATCAAACACAAACAGGCAGGCACAGCCGATCTTAAAATCTGTTTCGGACTAGTTGTGAATTTTTCTAATCCGTCAATATTGGTTAATTGTATTAGGAGAGAAAAAAATATGGAAAGGTCATCACATTTCTTTGGAATACTGTGATAATAGTATTCAAGTTTTAGAAAAGATTAAGGCAAATAATGCAATTATTTTTAACCTTTTAAATAGAGTAAATGAAAATAACCAAAGGTGGTCAGGCAATACGACCATCAAAACTTTAAGATGACATTTATGTAGACATTAAGTGGTAATATAAATTTGTTGGAAATCGTTTCAAGTTGAATCATACCATTTGTTGTTTTAGTTTCCATCTCTTTTCTTTGTAATTGATATTTATTTTGTAGCCTAATTTGATACAGGATGTACTGTATCAAAGGTTCTAAGTTTTGAAAATTACATTGTATCCTGTTCATTCGAAAATACACGTCAGAATGTTTGGGCTGTAATTTGAAAAAAATTGTAAACCTATAAATTCCCACTGTCCTTAATGTCAAGACTGGGTATGAAAAGTTTAGGGGCAGGAAACCTGATTAACTATATACAAACTTCCTCCTGAATGGAGTTACATAGATGACTGGCATGACTCTTGTTTTCAGGAGCTAGATATTCATAATTTATTAAATTAAACTAATTAAAAATTAATCCATCTCAAATTAGTAATGTGATTAAAAATTGTAGCCAGGCATTGTAACGATGTCATAATAAATAATTGCATGTACTAATTTAGATTTGTGAAACTGTTTTGAACATATCCATAGTAGGATAACTGTGGTCTTATGGGTATAGTGCTTAATCTGAACAAAGAATTATGCTTTTGGAAGGCTTATTTCAACACAAAATCTTACTAACAGTTACCAAGTAAGTCTATCTCCAGAATTTTTTTAATTGGGGATAGAGTTCATGTAAATAATTTCTGCAATTTGATTGACCTGAAATGCAACATTTCAACAAGCATAGTAGATATCATGCCAATAATGTTACAACACATGAATACATATCTGTTGGTGGAAGACAAACTCTTTCAACATTAAAATCTCAAAGCACAGCTGATTGAGTAGGGGAACTTTTGGTACATACTGTATTTGTGTTTGACGATATAATGGGAGATATACTGTAATTTTGTTTTGTACTTTTCTTCTTTATTCCTAACCTGTTTTGTGCAGATAGGAGGATCAAAACTTTTACATCTAAATTCTAAGAAATTAGTTTTGTCTCAAAGCTTAGTTAGAAAAGTCATTAGATTAAGAAATTAAGTTGGCATGGCCAAAGTGCCAAAGGTATAATCTCTCTGGAAAATTTCATAGGTAGTTTGACCCATCTCTTACAATGTAAAAGAGAGAGGGCAGAAATTGAGAGTTCTTTGCAATAGAATCAAATGTTGAAGACTAGCTTACACCATGGATAAAGATATTGTATAATCCAAGATTTTTAAATCTTGGATCCTATGTGATTTTCTATCAATTATTTTTGATAGTCACTGTAATAGAATGTAAAGGAAAAAGTGCATCATTAACTGATAATGATTGTTTAATCACTTTAGTATATACTAATTATAAAACAGGTCATATGAGAAATTTTAGAAATTATTTGTGGCATAATAAACACTAGTATTGTGTTTTATTCCAAAGACACATGACAAATTTTCCATCAAATTCCTTTATTAGTTGATACGGTACATTGTTTTGTACTCGTTTCGGGCTTTGCCCCTCTCCAGTCAACTAAAATACAATATATATACTTATTACAGTAGAGAGTTTACATAAAATAATGAGTACATAAACGATATATAGACGTACCTTTTGGTTACACTTTGTATAATTTAAAAACGTAAAATCTGCTTTAATGTTTGTATATATTATAAATTAAAAGGTTAAAAGTTCTAAAATCTTCTCTTATAAGCATATTTTGATACTACAAAACTGTAAAAAATTTTTAAACTGTTTCCTCCCCCTTTTTTACCTTCCACCCCCTTTTTCTAATGCGCTGGTGTCTTAAGTGTTGCCATGTATGACGTTCAATAGAAAAAAATATTAAGTTTTTATTTATACTGTCCTTACTTTTCATGATTTCTTTAAACTTTCTGTTGTACGTTAATTTTTCTTTATGCAGTATTTGCAGTAAAGAAAAATTAACGTACAACAGAAAGTTTAAAGAAACCATAGAAATCATGAAAAGTAAGGACAGTATAAATAAAAACTTAAGTCTTTATTTATCCGGTTTTTGTTTTTTTTAAGACTTAAGTTTTTATTTATACTGTCCTTACTTTTCATGATTTCTATGGTTTCTTTAAACTTTCTGTTGTACGTTAATTTTTCTTTACTGCAAATACTGCATAAAGAAAAATTAACGTACAACAGAAAGTTTAAAGAAATCATGAAAAGTAAGGACAGTATAAATAAAAACTTAATATTTTTTTCTATTGAACGTCATACATGGCAACACTTAAGACACCAGCGCATTAGAAAAAGGGGGTGGAAGGTAAAAAAGGGGGAGGAAACAGTTTAAAAATTTTTTACAGTTTTGTAGTATCAAAATATGCTTATAAGAGAAGATTTTAGAACTTTTAACCTTTTAATTTATAATATATACAAACATTAAAGCAGATTTTACGTTTTTAAATTATACAAAGTGTAACCAAAAGGTACGTCTATATATCGTTTATGTACTCATTATTTTATGTAAACTCTCTACTGTAATAAGTTAAATATATATATTGTATTTTAGTTGACTGAAGAGGGGCAAAGCCCGAAACGAGTAAAAAACAATGTACCGTATCAACTAATAAAGGAATTTGATGGAAAATTTGCCATGTGTCTTTGGAATAAAACACAATACTAGTGTTTATTACGCCACGGTTTCAAAAAGAAAATTTAGAAATTATATTTCAAGAAATCTAGAAATACTTATAAATTAGAAAGGAATTGTCCTTAGATTCTTGTAGATTGAATCCTGTCTCTATTGCATTTAAAATTTTTTACACACACAACTTAGCCAATAAATAATGAATTTTAACCAAACAAAAATTTGATGGAAAAAATTGTCTTAACGTACACTATAAAGATTTTCTCTCTTTTCAGCTGATTCTAGAAGTTCCTCACCCATTCCGGATGCCATGACGTTACCATGGAAGCGCGATGAAGACTGTTCTGATGGAAAGTGTGTCAGGAGGCAGCAAGAGTTTCCATCTTGGGTCCTGAATAAAGATTACATTCTCTATTCTTCTCCCACTCACACTTTTCTGGGTAATCTGGGAAAAAACCAAAAGAAATCTCCTGCCATTTTTGAAATATTCTCCAGGCACAACAAGGCTAAACTTGAAAGAATGGAATCAATACGAGAGACCGAAGACAAAGAATCTCCTGTTCAAGACAGTGACAGGGAGAGTGAGCACTCCTCAAAATCTTGCACAGAGAACCATAGGTTAGATGGTAACGAGCAGTCTGAAAGAAAAGCAGCCAATAAAGAAGTCGTTCTCGAAGTATCTAATGACGTAGACGAAGACACTAAATTATAGAATGAAAATAGACTATAAAACTTTGATATGTGCTATACTTAATAATGTACAGTGAATAATGTACTGTATAGATTTTTGAAATTAGTTTCTGCCCCATCTTTTTTGGTGGCCAATTCGTCGCAAGAGACTCTTTTGGACATTTTAAGTAGGTTTAGTGAACACAAGGATTATTGCCAAACTTTTTATCTTTTTTGTAGAGCACAAACTTGCACAAGTGTAAATCATTCTATTTATATTACAGAATATCGCGTATATTTAAGCAAGAATTTGTATCAAAATATACAGGCCTATATTTTTTGTAAATTTTAGCAGATGACGATTCTGTATAATATTTATGTGGAATTTTGGTATAAAAAAAGGAAAGTAGTGATACTCATTCATCTGGAAGGCATGTTATTACATCATCATCGCTCTCCATTATTTCTTCATCCATAACAAAAATATCATGTTAGAATTGTACTGTGTAAATCAAACAGAAATGCTGCTTTTTAAAAATGAAATGTAAATGATGGAGAAATATGTTAATAAAATTTAGAAAATCTTTCCAATTAATGACTTACTTTTTTGTGTGTGCAGACAAAAACTATATTTGGATAAACCAATGGGGTCTATCCAACTGGCATAGGAATAATGTTTCCAAGTAAAGTTACTTACATCTTACACTTTAAATCTACAATTTTCTAATACAAATGAAAGAAATTCTGATAAGAGCTACTTGACTGAAACTCATTTTCTCTCTTAGTCTGAATTTGCATCAGTCATTTTTGATGACAGCAAATCTTGTCATTGAATGCTGGAATGTAGAATGCAAATATCCCATTTATGTTCTAATTTCAATTATATAGTGAAAGGAGTATATTATGCAAAGAAAGTTTAAGTCACAATAAACACAGAACAGTATTTTTCTAGAAAGAAAAATGCTCCTATTATTAATGAGAAATACTCTATATACTCAAATCTCATTTACACAGAAATTCTTTTCTCCTGAATCATTGCATTCATTTGCTTTTATATTAATTAGTCTGTACATATCAAATTCAAGTCACCATTCTGATTAAAAGACAAAGTTCTATGAAATCATCTTAACTAAATGTGCAAATCTGCTGCCAGACATCAACTCACCACTAGTGTGGTCTCTCGACTACAAGATTTGATAAGCATGTGATTCAATATTTGGCAAAAGGTTAATCAATCAAATCAAAAAAAGGTTAAAGGTTAAAGGTGACTCACGCTGAGAACTGCATAAATATAATGAGATAATTTCTTATGAGAAAGTAGTCAAACTCCTGCATATGAAGCATATATAATGGAATATTTTCTATATCAAGTTCAGTTCAAGCAAAAACTAATGATGAATTGCTAAGAAAGTATGTACAGGAGTTAAAAGGAGTTATCCTAGACATTTAAAAATGAAGAAATTCCTGCCAGAAATGGTTTCATGCTAAAAAGACATACAAGTGTCTCAGCATGTTGAAACATCCTACCATCAGCACAATACAAAGTAGCAACTGATCACAGCAGAATTCTAGTTGCACCAAAACTAACTTTAATAAAATTCATGATATCAGTTGGGAACGAAATATTACTATCAACTAATACTAATACTAAACTTCTCTATGGGGGAACCCCTGACGGAGAGCGTCCGAAGGGGGGTCAGTCATATCGACTGGACCCAGCCCGATGACCAAGTATTTAGATCGCTTGCAGCAAGTAAAGGAGACTTTGAAACTTTAAAGAGTATAATGGATATTATACTAGGTCAACATGACGTATAGTCCAGTTCTACTGGACAGGGCCTCCCCTTACAGGGAAGGGAAGCCCTCTGCTTGTTCCCTGAGTACCTCTCTATCGCAGAGTTCTCATGTGCAGTTACAATGCACCAAAACGTATGTCCGTAACAGGGCCATGCTCGAGTAGCGATGAAGGCAAGGAAGGCAAAGACGACAAGGAAAGCGATGAAAGTCGATAGTCCTAGGACTACTCTGACCCGAGCAAGAGCCAGAGCTAGAGCCCAAGCACTTCTCTCGAGCTGGCTTTGCGTCTAAGCGCCCGGTGCCCACCGGACGATGGACCGGCCGATGATTAAGACATCGTCTCCTAGTTTCTCTGTAGTGCCATTTGGCGGAGCAGAGGCTATGACTTAGAGTTGATTAGATGAGGGGGAACCATAAACAAAAATACAAGACTAGACCAGAGACATACCACAAAGGAAACTAGGTTAACTCAGTCATCATAAAATATCTTGTAAACAATTGTATATATAGAAATATATCCAATAATGATTGATTAGATAGCTTAGAAAGTTCAAAAAATGTTAAAAATGTAATTTTGTTTCTAATTGACTGTACACTCTCTACTTGAAACATTTTTTTAATATGTATTTTGTGATGTGATAACTTTCAGATCCTTGTGTCAACTATAATAGTACATTTATCCCCTCCCATCTAAAAAGTTTGATGAAATAGTAAGAAGTAAAGTATGTATCATGTCAAATATCTATCTATAAATATTAGTATATATTGCTGGTGGTTTTAACATGCATAATGCATATTTCAGGCATTTTAATAGGGATACATACTATAATTTTAGATGCAAATAAATCCACCCCTTAATAATGATATTTTAAAGTCATACAAATTTAATAAAAAATTATGTGTGTGATAGATTAAATATCAAACCATAATTATCATTAGAGACATTTTTATCAAATAACTATTTCCATAAACTTTATCTTAAACATCAAAAAGAAAATCATCAACTAATGTAAACCAGAATATGATAATTTTGTAAATATTACTAATAATGGAAAATTACAATATGTGTTTCAATGATATAATTTACATTTGATATAATTTTACAACATTAACATTATAAACATTTAAAAATACATTACATATTTTGTTAACTACAATATGTTCAACAAAATTTTAAACTGTTTACCGTTTGGATCACTGTTTAGATATCAATATTGGAAACCTTTCACCCTCTGTACACATAAACCCATGCAGACATCGAAGAACATTCAAATAATTACTGTAATAATTTTTTAATGTCAACAAATTTCATTAAGCAAATTAATTAATTAAATACTCTGCTTACCTGTCTTTGAGATCCACTTGACACAAATGAGAAAAAACTTCATCATCAATTGATTTATATAAATTAAGAAGAAAAGACAGCCATTGAACCTCCGACAGCAAACTGTAAAATTGCCTCACTTCTTCAATGGCACCATAATCAATTATCTCTGGGATGTCTGGAACTGCAACACAAAATGAAAATCATTTTAATTTTACAAAGTTAAATTATAAAAAATGTTCAAAATTAGCATAATTTGATAGAAATGATACTTACATGAATTGTCCCAATGCCAGAGCCACTTTGGCATAAAACTGAATTCTTTAGAGTTTTCACTTTCATACAACTGACCTAAAAATATATTTTTTTCAAATATATTTGAATTTTACTAAAACAAACTATAATTATTTCTTTAACATTTAGAGTTTAATTTACAATTTTAAAATGTTTTAACACTCATCATATTGGAATTTAACTGAAAGTTAAGGATGTGTCATTTTGTAGAGTATTTATTATCTATAATGAGAAATTTCAAATTAATATTTTGAAAGTTTAATTTACTTCTGAATTAAAACCTGACTGTCATGTGGTATTCAAGTAACAAATGTATTGAATTTTAGCATGTTCTAGTGTTATTTCATTTGGTTGTCAGAATATAATGGATCTGAAGATGGAATTGTAGATTCCAACAATGCTAAACCAAAATAAATTCTTTTTGTATAACTGTGTAAACTGATGTTTTTAATTTCTGTGTGTAATAATTTGCTGTCACAAATTCTGAATGAATTTAAAAATAGTTAAGATAAAGTCTGTAGACAATAATGCAACTGTCAAACTGTTTTTTCTTATGTATTTTACTTGCACAATATTAAAAAAATCAGATATATTGGTTGATAAGCACCTGCACATATCTGTATTATATTATTACAAGTTAAATTTTTATTAAAAATAATTTATTTTCTAAACAGAAGATTATTTTTAGACTATAAATAAGTTAGTTGTTAATTAAATTATTTGATTTGAAGAGAGGTGTTTAAACCACCATCCTGGATGTTAAATTTACAATTTTTGAAATTACAAATTGTAAATTTAAGTAATTTATAAAATTCTGGAAAGATTGAAGTAGGATGGGACTTGAACCCACATCTACTTACCATGCAGATATAAGTATAAAATTAATCTGGTATTTAGATATGGTTGGCTATTAAAATTTCATTATGGTTTCTTAGTATTCTTACTTCATATACTTCCTATGTAATTGTAAAATACACAAAAAAATATATTTTTTCATGTATTTTACAATTACGTAGGAAGAATAGAAACAGTCTGACTCCATCTTTTTTATAATTATGTTAGTGTAATATCAAATCTTCAAGTAATGTACAAAGTGATAGCAAATCTTCAAGTAGTATACAAAGATATTGAATTGGCAGTACTGCAGAAGCTCTTACACAAAAAGCTACATGTCCGAAAAATACCAAGTTGATGGGTTTTGCATTTCTTGTCAGATCAGCAGGAGATTTGTGGATTGGTGCCATTACATGATCCAAAAATTTAGATCATGTATTAGGCAATAAAAGGCATGCTTGGTTGTAACATGTGGTGAAAACTGTGCAACTTCGTCACCAGAGGATGCAGTATTGCACTTAAAAACTACTGTTCAGTTGGAAATTAGACAGTTTTTGCTTTGTTCCTCTTGTCTTCACTACGTGCATGCTTCAACCTTCAAACTCAATTCCTCAACAATCCCTGAAGTAGTACCATTTGTGACAGTCACACCTTTACAGTTGTGTGTTGTTACTTTTAAGTTATAAAATAAAAACGTTTTTTATTAGTAGTGAAGTTTCCTAAAAGATCCTAAGCTAACACAGATCTAACAACATAATCAAAAAACAAAACAGTAATTAACACTCTGGGATTCCCAGATTATCCCAGAAGTATCAACTGTCAAATCAAATGGTGGCACATTCTTTGGCCAAGGCAATCCCATCAGAACTGTATGCCTATATGATTGAAAGACTGTCACTGTCAATTGGTATGTGAAATCCGTGATTTTTACGCCAATGTCAGAAAAATCTTTGTAAACAACTCCGATGGGGAAACCCCCCTTGGTGAGAAGTATATCGGAGGTCACCGATTGTTTTCACATTAAGGTGGGAAAGTTGACAGTTAGTTAATCGGAATGCACAGTAAGTGTCAACAGAAGTCGATCACGTGACTCATTTCCCACAAATAACGTATAAAAGCTCGAGTCCCCGAAAGCTCCGGGCGATCCCTCGGAAGTTATACTTGGTAGATGTGCCATATTTGTCTTCATACTCCGGACCGAAAGGACATACGACCAACCACAGCCATTTGAACTTCCATCGCCATTAATGAACATATTCAACGAATGCATATTAGACATATCCGCATAGAGGTATCTGTACTTTTTAGAGTTTTGTGAACTCTCTCAGACTAACAGGTAAAGCTATTAGAGTGTCCCTTTTGTATAGTGAATTTATTTAATCGCATTTAACCTATGTATCCTAGCTTAGTTATATAGCTTGTTTTGTTTTTAAACCTGTCTCCTGTCTCTGAAGGACACCTGCCGACTTACCGACGCACTCCCCACTCAAAATTTTTGCCCTCCTAGCCATCCAACAAGCCGAGAACGAGTTTTACCAACCTGTTGCAGAGTAAGTGGTCATTTGGGATGAGCCCAGTGGCCCACTGCTAATCTCACAGGTATGTTACCATTTGTCTACCACTAATCTTTTAGGAAATTCATCAAAAGTGGCCAAAGAATAGACTTTGTGTTCTTCTGCTTTACTACAATACTTCAGCACACAATAGCAATGAGGACAGTGGATTTCCTGGTTGAATTAAATATTCAATTTTTTTCTATAAATCCAGGTTTGGTATCTAGTGACTATTTTCTATTCTCAAAACTGCTTTGTGGATGGCATTTCCAGAATGCAGAAGAGGTAATGTCTGTCTGCAGAGAGCAGAATGAAAGCATTTTGGAAATTTAGCATTGTGATTACTTCTGTATTTGGTTTAAAAGGATTACCCACTGTGCAGACAATAGGGAGTCCTTCAAAAAATTAAAAAAAAAGTCATTATATATAAATTATATTTACACTGAATAATCTGCCATATATCTGAGTAGACAGAGATTGAAGTACATGGAAAGTTGAATGTCAGAAATAAATATTGGAAGTTGAGACAAGAAATGTCAATGATCCAGAGAGCAAAAGAAGTTTAACTAGGTGCAGTTATGAAGGGATTTGTACCATATATTTACTTGACAATGAAGTTTCTCATAGTCATAAAATAAAAGGATACATTTTCTAAAAGTTTAGTCTCAAATCTTCCAGCATAATCATTGTTTTTCTTCCAAAAACTTTGAGCTTTCGATTTTGCTTGTAAATTTAATTCTACAGCTCGTTTTAGTCTCTTGGGAATTTCTGGGATACTAAATGTAATCAAAAACATGCAAAAAATATATTTTTGTAAATTCTGTATTAATTCTGTAACAACAGCATAAATTACAATAGTTTTTATAGTATAGTTACAGTAAATGGTTTTACGACATTAATTAAAATATAAAGTATAAAAAGCATTTAAATACTCACACAATTATTTCAGATTTACTAATTTTTGCAGACTGAGAAATATTCTTGTTAATATTCGGCATCTGTTTATTTACTGTTCTTTCTGTAGTGGTACATGTTTTTGAAGACTTAAATTCAACATTACTTAAATTTTCATTAGACTTTTGCAGTTCTGTTTTCAGAACTCTTACTCCTGGGCAAAACTGTTGTTGTAATATTCTGCTTACTTTTCTGAGATAGAGTAACAGTTTGAGATTCCTTGTCACAATTCTTTGATGCACGAGTCGCAGTGAATTCTCTGTTAGATATCTGGAGTTTGTTCTGCTTAACTTGAACCATAGACTTTGTNAATTTTTGCAGACTGAGAAATATTCTTGTTAATATTCGGCATCTGTTTATTTACTGTTCTTTCTGTAGTGGTACATGTTTTTGAAGACTTAAATTCAACATTACTTAAATTTTCATTAGACTTTTGCAGTTCTGTTTTCAGTTTGACAAACTTACTCCTGGGCAAAACTGCTGTTGTAATATTCTGCTTACTTTTCTGAGATAGAGTAACAGTTTGAGATTCCTTGTCACAATTCTTTGATGCACGAGTTGCAGTGAATTCTCTGTTAGATATCTGGAGTTTGTTCTGCTTAACTTGAACCATAGACTTTGTCTGAGAACTCTTAACAGAAAAAACTTCATTCTGTTTTTTGTCATTTGTTTTGGTATTGCTACTCTATAAATTAAAAATATGACATTATAGAGAGTTTATTAATGGATTAATCTTTCTTTACTAATTACAAGTTTACATTTTATTTTCAGTATACACTAACACACTTAAATTTTAAATGTTAATTGCAAAGTACAATATAGTACAACGGTAATTGCATGCACTTATGGCCATGTACTGCATTATACACAAATATTAAAAAGGAAAAAGTAACTATGTGGCTGATACATTAAGAAATAATATTCATATACTCAGTGCATGTCACAATTTAATTTTAAAAATATTTACAAACAAATGTGTTTGGCTCTAATTGACAGCTAAATGATAATATTTTTGATTGAGAAATATGTGGCTAACAAATAAAGTAGAAGTAGAAATTGCTTACATCATACCAATGTAAATAGATATTAATATAATACTGTAAAATAACAAATTACAGATCACTACTGAAATCATATGAGAGCATCAATATAGTTTAACAATGCTAAAAGCTGATCAATATTCTCTCTTTTTTTTATTGTCCAGAAACTTTTATATTTTTTAATAATTCGTTGCAGTTCAATCTATAAAGCATGTTCCAAAGAAAGGACAGAAAACATAATCAGTAAATAAATACATCTATCAAAGAGCCATAATTGAATTCTAGCAAGATTTAATTGTAAGTAAAGTTATAAAATGGAATTTTAATGAAATTTCATTTGCAAAGTTTAATAAGTCAAATATTAATAATAAATCTGTTCCTGGTGTTTGGACTTATACCGAATAGGACGTATACCAAACCAACCTTTTCCATAAGAAGTAATGTAAAAATGATTAATCCGTTCTCATGTAAAAAAAATGGCTGGCTTTAAACACCTCGCTTTCCTGGCCAGTTTCTGCTTGATTTTTCATGAGAGCAGCATGTATTCTTTTAACTTTCTCGCAAATAATTTCTTCCGATACGCTGTCGCCGGCACACTGTTTTTCAGTTATCCAAAGCAAAAGCAATTTCTCGACACGATCTAATGTCTTCGATCTCTGTTTAGAAATTGATTTAACCCCTTTCGCAACGTTAGCAAATTTAATAATGTCTTTATTTTCCACGATTGTCGATATCGTCGTTCTCGGAATATGGAATGCAACAGTTAAATCTCGAACCCGCATGCCACCTTCATATTTCTCAACAATCTCTTTTTTCAGTTCCGTTGTGATTCTAGTCATTTTTTTATTTTTCTGTTGCCCTTTTGCAATTCATGATTAATAAAAATAATAAAATGTTACTTACAAATTAAAATCAGAAGAAATTTAACAAAGTTATAAACCTTAGCACTGCGAACGTCTATCTAGTGTAGTACACCGATAATGCTAATTGTTCATAGATGGCGCGTATAATTGAATTAAGTCGTATACCGAGCAAAATTTGTTTCGTCCAAACAGGACGTATTCCGAATTGGACGTATTCTAAAGCAGACATATACCGAGGTTCCACTGTATTTGATTTATTAAAGAGAAGACTTATTTCTTCTCTTATTAACATGTATATTAATTATATTTTTAATAACAAAACTTAAAAACTTGTTTGAGAATGCTTACCTTTAAGCAAGTGAAGCAAATTAATATTTTCTATATTGATTCTTAACAGAACAATTGTACAATGTGCATTGTTAAGGAGCATAATATTTAATAAGATTAGAAAAAAAAAAGATGAATTATCATCATCTTTTCTTCTAAGATGCTAGCGGAATGAATGCTCAACACAGACTGATGGAGCATGCGCACAATTTGGGACTTTCCCTCTCCTCGTCACTCATTATGCAAAACATTCTTTGTTAAGCAAGGCAATTTTTTACAATTTGTTTTGCTTGTTATGTGAGGTTCCACTGTATATGGTTTGTTCACTTATATGAATTTGCTAAAATTAGATATAGATATAATTAGATATGACAATAGGAATGTTTTGTTTTACAGTTTCTTGTTACAGTTAATAACACAGGCCTTAGTTGTAATTTTTCGGGCTATGAACCACTCAATTCTTGTTTATGCCCCACTATCTTCTTTTTCTATTCCCCCACCTAACATATTTCCTTTCATAATAGATTCCCTTTCAGCTGTTAAAGATTTCGGTTATCATTTTAATAGTTTGGTAAAAATAAAGCACTTCAAAATGTCAGAAAAAAGAATAAGAAAAAATTTAGAGCTCTTGATGAAATATGAATGGTGCAGTGATAACAAAATGGTAAAAGTGTATCTAGTTTATCAAAAATTTATATAGTGCCCCAAACAATCATCAATGATTTGAAATGTTTGATGGGACAAAAGAGATGATTACATTATCAAAATGACAGTCTGTGCTAAAGATGTAACTTCAGAAAGAAAAATCATAAAAGAAGCTACATACAGAAAATTGGACAAGGCCTTGTTCCAATGGTTTATTCAACAATTAAGTCAAGGATTGCCAAGGACAGGACCATTAATCAAGGAAGAAGACACTTGATTTTATTAAAATTCTAGAAAGTGACTCTGCATTCAAGACAAGCAAAGGATGGTTAAATACATTTAAATTGTAGTGTAGCATTTGACAACTACCAATAAAATAAAAAAAAACTTAGTGCTGATAGTTCTCAAGCGTACAATTTAAAGAAAAATTAAAATTAGAAATCAAAAACCACGGCATTATGCAAGATCAGATTTATAATTGTGATAAAACAGGTTGAAAAGCTCTCTCTCTCTCTCATAATGCACTTGGATCATCATCTAAAATTCAAAAAGAAAAATCATTATCGTGATTTGTGCAAATGCTTGTGGTCACTAACTAATAATGTTAAGCATCACTTACCATTATTAGTTACTAGTAAATCAAGAAAATTGAGACCTTTCAAGAATTAATAAGAATTTGCTACCATTACACTACTAAGCTCAAAAAAATGCTTGGATGAGCTGAGAGATTTTTATAGTAGTATGATAATGTTTTTATATTGTAAATGAAATCATTTTTAAATGATAAAGATTTGCCAGAAAAGGCTCTGCTATTACTAAATAATGTGTCCATACAACCTTTAGAATTTCTTGAAATTTCTGAAGAGAACATTTGTCATGTTTTCAGACACTAACATAACATCACTCTACAATCAATGGATCAGTATGTTATTGAAACAATAAAATGGCAATACTGAAAAAAGTTTATGTACTGTCTCATTCTAAAGGGTGACTGTGACTGTGACATTAAAATTTTTTGAAAGACTTAAAAGACATTAAAGACACTATTTTTAGACACTTTACAAAACTTGGCACTGTATTATTTTTCTTTGTAAGACTGCATATTAAAGACACTAACTTAAATGAAAAATGTAAAATGGAAACATCACAAACTTAGTCTTAGCAATGCCAGTAATCCTTTGTTAAAATTTCAAATGTATACTATTTAGAATACATAATCAATTATTTGTATTTTCATTTTTAAAAAATATAAGTTTTAAGTTTTTATTTAAAAAATATTCACAACTATGATAAAAATATTGTATCTATCTATGTAAACAGAAAAACTTTAATTTGAACATCTTTGAATTTATATTCAAGAAAATATTGACAGAATTATTAATATCTCAAATATAAAGAGAAGAACAAATTACATTCAATCACTAGAAATAAATGAGAATATTTAAAAAAAATCAAAAGTAATTTACATACCTTATACTTTTGTTTAACTTTCTTAGCTTTTACAAGAAGATTATCTGTAAATTAAAAATGAAAAATTTAAATAAAATGTTAAACGAAATAAAACTGAAATAAAATAATATCCAACAATTGTACATATAAAATTAAATATATATTAAATTTAAGAAAACATTTAAGAAAAATTTTTAAAGTGACCATTTTAATTATCATCAAGATTTGTGTATTGTTCTTGTTTTTTTATTCAATAAACTAAGGAAATGATATTTATATTTGACAAAAGTTATTGTAACAATAACAATACAACTGACTCTTAATAATGCAAAATAGGAGCAACAGAGAAGAATTTAATTTAATTTCAAGTTACGGAAATTACCATTACTTTAATGAGATTGTAAATATCATATCATGACATACACGATACAGTTAGATGCAAATTTTTATTTATTAGGTAATGTACATACATACAAATATCAATTCAATACAACTTTTATTGATGTTTTCACATAATGAACTGTCCTAATTCCAGCTTAAAGATAAGCAGGAATGCTTGCTTATCTTTCAGCTGGAATTAGGACAGTCCTTATTATGATCAGGTCAGTAAAGTTGTATATATATTTGTCAGCATGTTAAGAATAAATATAAGAACAAAATATTTATACTACTACAAAATGACTCTTGTTACAGAACTTCAATGCCAATAATCCATTACTTCTTCCTCAGTAATATTTTTGATGCATTCAATCACCTAGGAAGCATTGTGATTCACATGTGATGTAACCTCTAGAAAACCTTTTTAAAAATTTAAACAGTGCACACTATCTTTAAGATTTAACAGGTCAATTCACATTTAAGAATATAAACTGCTACTTTTAGGTGTGAAATGTTATTAAATGTCTTGTATTTTTTGTTGTTGCTGCTTCAGATGCAATAACATGACAAGTAATTTTGTGCTTATCTTCAAGTAAACCTAATTAAATATTTATTTCAAGTTCATTTTAATGTGATTTGTACCTGTATAAATTTTTTTAAAAAACTATAAAAAATTAAATATGAAATAAATTCACTGGAACCACAGATTTTGAGTTAGTGAGACATGCTCTAACTAACTCAAAATCCACAAAATGCATTAAGTTTATAGGAGTTATGTTTTGATGAAACCATTTTTTTTTTTTTTTTTGTTACAGTCAGCTACGACTGTATTTTATCAAAATTTAAATATACCTCATATATTTTAATTACAATTTTTCAATACTTTTTTGTCAGCCAAAAGCATCTAGTACAAAGAATTTTTGGCAGCTTCTGCAGAATTCTTTCTGAATATTTTAACAGTTTTGAAACTTCAGAGGAATGCTCAAATATTTCATAATTTTAGTTCACTGAAATTTAAATGTAAACTATTTAATAATCCAAGAGATGCATTCTGCAATGAGTCAACTACATAATATTCACATGTATCTCTCTGACCTTAAGAGATTGTATTTTACAAATAATGATTTGAGCATGTTTAAACACTGCTAGATTTTCAAGTGTGAGCTCTCTTAGCAAATCAGAATCAAATAGCTTCTCCTGATAAACAGTGACCTACAGCATCCACTATCTGGAATCCTTTGAATAAAACACTGAAACACACTCCCCAAGAAAAGTTTTTTTTTTTTGCAAGCATTTGCCGGTCTTTCTCAGAGTTTAATTCCCTATAAAATCTCAAATATGTCAAAATATACCTATATATGCCAACTTCATAGAAATTTGCAAAAAAAAAAAAAAATACAAAATCTGATACTTATTTATTACATTAGAGTTGTAAGATTTTTGTCATATGGTTTAAAAATTAAAAATCTCACTGTATTTTATGTCAATCATATAAAAAATAGAGTTGCAGATACTACCTGTATATACTGAACTATTTCAATGTTTATGTAGGTTTGAATTTATATATCTTACATTTGTTTATTTCCAGTTTGTTGTAAACAATTAATGGTTATAAATATTTGTAAATACAAATTCAGAAAAGTTTATTTCTATCTAAAACAATTTTGATTAGAAAGAAATTTAATTGACTTGACTAATTTTCAAAATCAATCACAGATATTAAGAATAAAATTTTCATACATTATTGATGAGAACACAATTATAAAGGGATTTAAAAAATGTTTTGTTACCAACAATTTAAACAGAGCAGATGATGATGTTCAAGGAGGGTGAGGACCATGTTGTCAATGAAACAGAAATGATGGTAATGAAAGCTTTGATAAATGACTTTCCAAATTCTTTCAATACAAATTGTTAATTTTTTTATGTACATAAAAGATCAACTTATATAGGTCTGAAAAAAGTTTTTCAAAAAATAAGGATGTAAAAGTTTGGGATTCAGCTTACATTTACAGGATTACAGGGATACAGGATTACATTTGAGCCAATATATTTATATTGCATTAGAAGACCTAAAAAATATGATTCTATTTCAAGGATTAGAAAATAGAGAAATCTGGGAGTGTCCTGAAAAAACAGTGATGTAAGGGCAACCTACCTAAAATCAACTTTATGCCAACATGTTTGGTTATTATATTATGTAACCTTCATCAAATAGAAAATAAAAGAATGTCGTGATCTGTATAGAAAAGAATATATAAACTGAATAAGAATTTGTCTTCACTGACACATGTAAAGTAATATGAAGAATTTTTGGTGTGTGAAGTCCAACCAATTTGCCAAGATTTTATTCATTAACTTTAATAACTTTTATTTTATAAATGAACATTGTCTTTAACTCCACTTTAGCTAGAATATCTGTCACAAAAAGGAACAATACCTGTGTGCAGACAATCATTGACAAAACATGTCAAAGACAGACCATTATTCATATGGTTTAAATAGTTCAAATGGTTCTTAAACTTCCACTGGAAGAAATAACTTAATTTCAAATTTGAATTGTAAGAAGAAAAAACTAGATGAAAGCCTTTACTACTAGATCAATATTACTACTATTATCAGTTGAAAACACCCAACAACAACAACAGTAGTAGTAGTAGTAGTAATAGTAGGATTCATTATCTATTATCATTCAACTAAGGCCAAAAAGAGACCTCTACATCACCAATATTTCTCATACCACATTTTATTTTGTAAAGGTATTATTCACTTTTATAAGCTATTTCTCTCTCTCATATGCACTCAGGAAAACGAATGTGTTTGTTTTAAAGTATAATAAATACATTAGTGGTTAAATTTTGTGTGCACATGTGCCACTCCCTGTCCTGATCAAAGTGACATTCATCTCTCACAAAGACATGTGAATTTTAAAGTGCTATCCACTTGGACCTGATCATGACCACTGGAAATCTCACAAATTCTATAATTTGAACTACAAATTTTGCTCCTATATTCAAGAGCTCATATAAAANAGAAAAACTTCATCAATTGATTTATATAAATTAAGAAGAAAACACAGCCATTGAACCTCTGACAACAAACTGTAAAATTGCCTCACTTCTTCAATGGCACCATAATCAATTATCTCTGGGATGTCTGGAAATGAATTGTCCCAATGCCAGAGCCACATTGGCATAAAACTGAATTCTTTAGAGTTTTCACTTTCATACAACTGACCTAAATCAAAATTTTCCTTTAATTCATTTCCATCTTCCCAAATTTCCATATTTTCTAAAAGTTTAGTCTCAAATCTTCCAGCATAATCATTGTTTTTCTTCCAAAAACTTTGAGCTTTCGATCTTGCTTGTAAATTTAATTCTACAGCTCGTTTTAGTCTCTTGGGAATTTCTGGGATAACAATTATTTCAGATTTACCAATTTTTGCAGACTGAGAAATATTCTTGTTAATATTCGGCATCTGTTTATTTACTGTTCTTTCTGTAGTGGTACATGTTTTTGAAGACTTAAATTCAACATTACTTAAATTTTCATTAGACTTTTGCAGTTCTGTTTTCAGAACTCTTACTCCTGGGCAAAACTGTTGTTGTAATATTCTGCTTACTTTTCTGAGATAGAGTAACAGTTTGAGATTCCTTGTCACAATTCTTTGATGCACGAGTCGCAGTGAATTCTCTGTTAGATATCTGGAGTTTGTTTTGCTTAACTTGAACCATAGACTTTGTCTGAGAACTCTTAACAGAGAAAACTTCATTCTGTTTTATGTCATTTGTTTTGGTATTGCTAATCTTATATTTTTGTTTAACTTTCTTAGCCTTTACAAGAAGATTATCAACTTTATCATCTGGAGAATATTGCTGAATGTTTTCATTCTGATTGGTAACTTGTTCCTCAGTAATTTGAATATTCTTTTTCTTAATCCACTTTTTCATTAAATTTCTGTAATCTTCACAAACATGTTCTACTTTTAATCTTTGAACATCACATTTATACTGTGTTTCATCAATCAGATAAATTATTCTATAATTACAAGAATTTCTTAATAAATTAAACCTATAATAACAAATTTAAATTTCTAGCATGCAAATTTTATTTTATTTAAATAATAATATAAAAATTAAAATGATGAATTATAGAAAGATTGAATAAGAACTAACAACACTTATGGCACCGTGTATTTTAATTCAAAATTGCTGGAAAACTCATTTTTATAATGAGTTTTCCAGGACTTCCACATTTACAAGCATTTTATTCTGTTATTATTTTGTTAATTTGATAAAAATTAGCAATTTTGAATTAAAATAATTTACAAGTCCTGAAAACTCATTATAAAAATGAGTTTTCCAGGACTTGTAAATTATTTGAATGACGTATTTTATTCTAATGTGGTCAACATTATATAAAATCTGGAATTTTTATAGTCTTTTGGATAATTATCCAAAATGAACAAAATTAATAAAAACAATATTTGAAACAGAGGGAAAAATAATTATTAAATAATTATAAAGGTAGCTCCACACATTTGATACTTGCTGAGTGCCAAATCATTGCCTTTCCCAAAGGTATTTGTCATGTGGCAAACACATATGTACATATTTTTGATCATTTACCAAGCATCAGTTCATTGTGGGAATTACAGATGTTTGTCCGAGATTTGTTTTTTCAACTCAAAACAATAACCTAAAAAGGAGTGGGAAATACAAGATATTTGTCAAGTGAAGTCACAAATAAATCATTCACACTACTCTGTATTGGCCAAATAATGTTTGCTCAGCATTTGGCGCACACTGAATATGTGGAGCCACCTTAACTTAACATTTAGCAAAGTTGTTTTAAAATAGCTGCTTTATACAATAAAGGAAAGGTATTATGGACTATAATATATAAACCATCTAAAGCAGGGGTGTCCAACCCGCGGACCAAGGCAAGTTACAATGCGGCCCAATAAACGTGTAAACAAAATCGACAACTGTTTTAATTTCATTATTATTTATTTATTTCAACTGCATAAACTCAAAAAAGAAGTTTCACAAAGCCGTAAACCTTTATTCATATTTTTGTTTTGAGTAAAAAGGAAATATTTTCAAATACTTGGAGATGAGTGAATGAGGAAGGATTACTAAATAAAACTGGAGTTGTGACTTAAAGGATTATAGACCAAAATTTGGGAAAAGGAGGGAAAGGTGAGAAAAGACAATAGATAAAAAGTAGTGAGAAAGGTTAAATAGATCTTCTGTTATGCAAATATTGACCCTTAATTTTCCAACTGTTCTCACTTCTTTACCTTTTGTCCTTTCTCTCCTTTCCCCCTCATTTGGGTCTATAATTCTTTGAATCACAACTCCAGCTTTAATTAGTATTTCTTCCAACGTTGCAAGATTTGGCTACATTGCGCTAAATGTGGCTACTTTTTTTGTTTGACGTAAAAAATATCATTTGGCGCTTCGGCTACTTTTTGGGCTACATATTATTTATAAATATATTACTTGAATAAAAATGTACTTTAAAATGGTGTTTGGTCGCTTTTTATTAGAGACCCAAATAAAACAAATATTTGTGTTTTCCAAATAAATTTTCGTTTGTCTCTTATAATAAATGAATTTTTCTATTTCTAAGTAAAAATTGAAAGTGTCTGTAGAAGTAATTTTTTAAATATCCTTTTTCGTAATAAAGTTTTAATATTTATTATTATAATCTAGACATGTTAATCCTTAAATATACATGTATATTGGGTCACAAGTATATATTATATAAACTTATGGCCCAAAACTCCTTGACTTTTTCCAATGCGGCCCAGAGAAACAAAAAGGTTGGACACCCCTGATCTAAAGGATACTGAAATTCCATTTCATTCAGCCAAGAACAAGTTAATAAACATCATTTTAAAAATTATTATTGTCATCTCAAAATATTAAACAATTTAAATTTCGCATTTATATTAATAATAAATTTAATTTTACATTTATTTAAAACAAAACAATTAAAATGGAAATGAGATTGTTTTTAGTTTGATTAGTAGAATAGTAATATTAATGATTATAAATAAAAAAGCATGAAGCAGTTAAAAGCACAGTCAAGTTAGGACTTTTATTTTAAACTGTGTATAATTATTTTGGATGGTTATCTTGTGATATTTTTAATGAACTTTTCTTAGTTCTTGATATATCTAATTGTCAAAGAAAGAAAACTAATTACTCGTACTCATTAAATAATCTTTTTTATTGTACCATATTGCACAACAAGGTGAATACTAGGGTATCCAGTGCCTATCTGCCATCTGCATCCTCTAAGCAAATTATACCTTTCTAACCTGATCTGATTACTGCATCCATTCTAGTGTTACATATATATTATAATGCCTTTTTTCACATCAGCCAAGTGTGTTCTTGACTCAACTGTCACTCAAGAAAAAAAACCAAGAAAAGACAACTGAAGACAACCAAAATAAAATGCATACTTTTTCATCATATTCTTCAAAAATATAATTCAATTGTATTTTCTTAGGAAAAAGAGAATGAATCCAAAATCCTGTGGACCTGTAATGAAAGCCTTATAGACTGCATAGCACTGGTCCTGTTTCATATTCAGTCTAACTTCAATTGTATTTGTCACTTACATATTTTCTAACCAAGAAACCTACAATACAATCTCATGTAGAAAGTGTCACCATATTGTCTAGTAAAATGTCTTTAATACAGCTATAGTCTGTATTAAAAACATTTAAATTCGCTATAACTTTGTGCATGCTTCTGCAAGAAACAGTACACTTTCTTAACAATTTTCTCCAGGACTAAATTTATAATTACTTACAGATGTTCACATTTTTATTAGAACACTTCTAAATGATAGGTAACACAAAAGGATATATTTTGTATCATATAGTGGTGATGTGGCCACTTCTTCATTTCATGCACAAAGTTACAGTGAAGTAGATCCATCTAAGTTGTCAATGCTGTTTAATCTGCAAAGCAACTCCACCAGATTTGACAGTGTATGGATATTCTTCCATGTTGCTGATTATAGAAGAGTTGAGTATTGAGTTATAACGAATGTCGAAAGGACGATCGAAGGTCTCAACAGATCCAAAAAAATACCTCCGACGAAAAACTTTCTTTGCTATACATAAATGTATAGTGGTCAGTCTTTACCTATATGCACCGTCATGGCAACAGTCACGACTGTTCACATTCCCGACGGACTTGAATTGATACATACTAATTATTGATACATGTGTTCAAGAACTACTGTGAACCAATAACTAGTGACGTTAAACAATCGGCGGCCTGCCAACAACTCCCCTCCGAGAGGAGTCTATTGGGAGCACAAACAGTCAGGACCGCCGCCACGACGGTGCACATAGGTAAAGATTAACCCGTATAGCTAACTCACCCTTAGCTAAAGTACTCAAATTAACTAGGGCCACAATCTTGGCTCCAACTAATGTTTTCTTCGTTTCCCAACATGCCAGCATTGCAGTTTCATAAGTAAAATACTACCAAGCTGTTTTACTAATGTAAAATGATACTTAACACTGAAAATATACCTTCGGTTAAATATAACCAAAGATTTATTTTCAAAGAATTTGACGTGTGCATTATGCACAATTAAATTCGTTTATTATTATTATTATTATTCAAATGTTTTAACGTGATGACGTAGTTAGGTTCATCTGATTAAAAAAAAACAATTTCCTTACATATCTCGTATGCTGAATTATAAACGAATTTAATAAAGAAAAGAAAAAAAACGTGTCCATTTTTAATATCCACGTGTTTATACTGATAAAGACAATTCTCACTTTCTCAAAGTATCCGCCAAATCCATCTTTCCATATTTCAAGTGTTGCCAACTGAGTAAAAATACTAATATTAAAAGTTTCAAATTTATAAAATATTTTTAAAAATGTAATTATTTTAATTAATTAATTTCGAATTTATTAATTTATATTAAATTAAATTATTGCTAATAGGCTAATCGTATATGTGGCTGCAAAATGTTACTTTAATTACCGGTAATTTTATTTTAAAAAGCTTTAAGGCTTAAATCTTTATTAATTTGAAATAATAATAGTGTTTTTTTTTCTTTATATGCCGACACGCTGATAATTTTATCGTCGAAAACAAAGTAAGACTTCACAAAAAGATCGGTGGAGAAGCGGCTGCTAGAAATTGCCGCCGACATACGGTAATCAAGACTTTCTATGGCCATGTCAATTTACGCAGCTGACCCGGATATAAAGGCGCACTTACAACAAACTAGAGTCCTATTAACAACACATCGCACTGACCAGTTTAGATATTTAGAAGCCTTAGAAATTTTTAAAGCAAATATAAACAGCACATGTATTAATCACAAGAAGGAACTGTTTCTATCTGCAGCTTGGCAGGTCCCGTACAAGCCTGAGCTGCAGTTTGATAGTTTTTGTGAGTCCTTTTGCGCACACCCATACTAAAGCATGGCGTTTTTATCGTTTTTCGCACTGTTAAAGCCAGAGCCAGATTTAACGGCGCGCGCGTCCTGGGTCCCGACTTTTGAAGAGCCCCGCAAAATCTCATCTTTACACTTTTTTCTAATGACACCAAGTTTGGTTTCATACGCGAAATTTTAATTACGTATAAGTTTACAATCGGCGGTAAAATTTGAATATACTGTACAGTCGTTTGCAAATGTTTAAGACCACACATAGAAAAAGCAGATCTAATGGAATTTTATTGCGGGAGCTTCTTAGTACAACGATTCTTCTTATAACATGGTTATCACGTGAAGAGGTTTTTTCATGCGACCACTCCTCTTGCCAAAATCGAGTCAACAACTGCCGAAAATCGCACATGCACGTTTATTTATACCATGTGTCTGATGCAATCAACACACGAGATGATGTAATAATCTATGCGAATGTTGAAATGTGTAAAATACTGGGAAACAACTAGTGGTCTTAAACTTTTGCAAACGACTGTAATATATGATATATTATATTCAAATTTTATTTATAAATCTAATATATATATATATATTTTAAATTTAAAAACTGTTCTGCAGTATGTATTATTCTTTCTAAATACAGCCAAACCTCGGTTTTCGAACATAATTCGTTCCTAAAAGTTGTTCGAAAACCGAAACAACTTTTCCCATAAGACACAATATAAAATGGATTAATCAGTTCCCGACTTCCAAAACAAAGCATGTTTTTTTTTTTACATTTTTAGCTGCATTTCAGGCGTAAAAATGCCTACAAATGCAATATAATATTATCTATATCTGTTCTATANAGATGCATATACTGTACCTGTATATGTCTTCGAGGCCTTACATAGTCTATACAAAGGCCTCAAAAATATTTGTTAAAAATGATTTATTCCTTTATATTATTTATATATTAAGAACAAAATCTTAATTTTAAAATTTAGGCTCGTCTTCTGAGACCCAAAATTTTGTAAATTATTTTATTTCTATTTTCATGCCTTGTATGATATAAAATTATTATACACTGTACTTTATATTTTAAACCATTAATATATTTTTCTTGATTAATTTTGACATAATTAAGAAAAAAATTAACAAAGAAAATTAAATATACTTACAGATAAACTGCTTTAAAAATATATAAATTGCATATAAAATTTTATTAAATCGTTTATAAAGGGGACAAATAAAATCATTTATATATTTTAAGTGCATTTCTAAGCATAATAATTTTGATTATAAATGATGAAAGTCCTAATATTTCATTTAAAAAACAATAGAAATCACCATTTAATTAAATTACTAAATCAAAATTTCTATAAAACTAATAGAAAAACTTCAAATAATCACAAGAAATTCATCTTCAAACTGCAAATCTAATAATAAAAAATCGAATTTTAAATTTTAAACCTTCTTATTATTTTTTTATAAATATTATATAATAACTTTTAAGTACATAAATATTATAAAATTATAAACATTAAGAATTTCTTACCAAATATTTAACTTTACAGCACTCAAAACAAACTGGAAGTAGAATGAAGGGCAGTAACCTGTTCTGCATCAGCAAGATGTGTTGATCGCTTCCTTTTCCGGTATCCCTGGGGTAAGGTCATTCATTTCTTCAATAACACAGTGAACGAGGATTAGGGAAGATAATAGTTTTTAAACTATAGAAAATAATTTAAATATTAAAAGAATTTTAATTAAACAAAGAGCGACATTTTTTAAAAAATGGATCAAAAACGTGACTTTCTCCACAAGATTCAAAGTTCAACTTTAGAACATCCGATTGAAAATTATGGAATGCTTGTGGATTTATATAATGTGGAGGGATATTAGAGAAAAGATAAGGTGATTTACAGGAAATTTCGTTTAGTTTCACTTCGTTACACATGGCACAATAAATATTATCGTATCCGATCCCACCTATGAATACCGGTGCTTGATATTCTGTACAATTCTTTTCTAGTTCGGAGTTTTGCCACGAATCATAGCAGGTTGATATCAAATACGAGCAACGTCGTAAGAGGGAATCGGGAATATGATAACTTTCGGGTACGAAGTCTAAGTGACATTTACGAAATACTTTTCTATCATTTGATAGCCACACACCCCAGCTATCAGCAGTGGGATTATATTGTAAATGATTCTGCAAATATTCTAGATTTAGGTGATTATGGGCATGTTTGAGAGGGCAGGTTACGGTTACGGTCCAAAATAAAAAGTTTTCGGTGACGTCGTTGCATACAGCGCAATAATAATTTCTGAAAGTTTCGGCATTGTCTAGGGACGTCACGGGTACTGTAGACAAAGGATCCGAAAGTTCTGAATAATTTTCACACTTTTTTCTCATAGAATCATCTTCCCAAGTAAGGAGGCAATGGGTTTTTATATAAATATTCTTGACACATAAAGTCTTATGTTTCTGAGTCGAATTGTTTGAGTAAGGAGAATCGTGGCAGCAGTCTCCATATTCCAGACATTTGGCATCGCATTTGCACAACTTTTTCTCATTTTGACAACTGTTTTCTTCCTTGCATCTTTCTTCGTTGTTTGATAGATGAATAGAGTGGACAAATATTAGAATTTGAAAGAAAATAATGATTAATAAAATTCGTATATCTCGAAAGAAAATCATGGATGCAGAGTTGTTAGGAATCTGTAAGGATAACAAAATATTAAATTGAGTTAATTCTAAATAATTAAATTAATACGTTACGGTTATTTAAGAAAATTACAGTATATTATTTTAAATCATCAGTTATAATATTCATTGAAATTAACGGGGTGAGACAAAAAAAACTGATTCAGTGATTCAGTTCGGAAAAATGGCGTCAAAAGAGGACATATTAATAGAACGTTGCACAAATGTACTAAAAAAATTGATTATGGAGCAATTTTTAGCCGAAGGGAATAGCAAATAAATTGTATATAATGTTTTAAAGAAGTATAAAATATCTGAAACGTGGGGAAAGAAGGCCAGGAAGTAGAAGAAAGCCGGTTGTTACGAATGCTAAAAACCGAAGAGCATTGCGACAAATATTTGACAACAAAGATGCAGTTAGCCAGGTAGAGGCAGCTAAAAGATTCAATTGTCATCGAACATACGTATGTGAGATACTTAAGAAAACGAACATAAAAGGAAGAAAAAGACCCAAGAATACACTGCTGAAAAATTGTCGAAATCTGAACGCAATGCAAATGGCTCATAAGAAATTTTGGACGACGAGAAAGATGTGAAATGGAGCACCTCCTGAAACGAAGTACAAGTTTAACTCCTTCTGATGCATCAACATATTATGTAGTAGTCTTAATCGTCAATGGAGTCAATAGTGAGGATTTTATTATGAAAATATCAATATTTATATACACTTATTATAAGAATATTGTTTTTAAGATGCATATATTGTACCTGTATATGTCTTCGAGGCCTTACATAGTCTATACAAAGGCCTCAAAAATATTTGTTAAAAATGATTTATTCCTTTATATTATTTATATATTAAGAACAAAATCTTAATTTTAAAATTTAGGCTCGTCTTCTGAGACCCAAAATTTTGTAAATTATTTTATTTCTATTTTCATGCCTTGTATGATATAAAATTATTATACACTGTACTTTATATTTTAAACCATTAATATATTTTTCTTGATTAATTTTGACATAATTAAGAAAAAAATTAACAAAGAAAATTAAATATACTTACAGATAAACTGCTTTAAAAATATATAAATTGCATATAAAATTTTATTAAATCGTTTATAAAGGGGACAAATAAAATCATTTATATATTTTAAGTGCATTTCTAAGCATAATAATTTTGATTATAAATGATGAAAGTCCTAATATTTCATTTAAAAAACAATAGAAATCACCATTTAATTAAATTACTAAATCAAAATTTCTATAAAACTAATAGAAAAACTTCAAATAATCACAAGAAATTCATCTTCAAACTGCAAATCTAATAATAAAAAATCGAATTTTAAATTTTAAACCTTCTTATTATTTTTTTATAAATATTATATAATAACTTTTAAGTACATAAATATTATAAAATTATAAACATTAAGAATTTCTTACCAAATATTTAACTTTACAGCACTCAAAACAAACTGGAAGTAGAATGAAGGGCAGTAACCTGTTCTGCATCAGCAAGATGTGTTGATCGCTTCCTTTTCCGGTATCCCTGGGGTAAGGTCATTCATTTCTTCAATAACACAGTGAACTTGCTAGTCTATAAACAACCTGATTGTGTTATTGTTATATATCAAAGGCTGTTTTTTTATATTATTGATCAATGATTCATATAACAGAAGGAGGAATACATTATATACGTAACGTTGACTATGTGAGAATTAATTTATTCAATTTTCCAATACTTTTAGTACTCTTTTTATAGTAATTTCTGGTGTAATATTTTAAAAATTTCAACTTAAATAAGGAGAAAGATGGATAATTATTATGACTCTCTGCAGGACATCGGTATGAGGAAGTTAAAACAATGTTTGTTCTATGAGATTTTAGGTTGTCAGAAGTTTATATACGGAGGTTAATTTTATAGAGTTATCACTCTTATATTATGAAATATTTAAATTTATTTTAGAGTAAGCCCCAACTAGTTTAAGAGCTTTAAGAGAAAGAGTCTTGGAGAACAGAGGCCATAAGGAATAAGGAAGCGCCTTGGAAAAATTAAGGCTCTACTAGTTAATCAATTTCTCAATAATTTTAATATTAAACTATAAGAATGTCGTTTACGTAATCATTAATTCATAAGGAAAATAGTATTAAAGATATCTTTTAACTAATAATTTATGAACGATTGTAAGAGATGAGGAAGAACAGAACTAAGTAATTAGGATTGAGTGTAAAATTGTAAATTGAAGTCAATTTATTTTAATTTATTATAATACAGTTTACATGGTATTAATTCCAAATTAACGTTATCAAAAGTATTAGTTTAAAAGAATTAATTGTCATCAATGATAAGAAACTGGTTAAGTAAAATATAAACCATGTTAAGCAAAATGTTTTATTGCACAAAATTCCTGTTTTACAATATAAAACTTCTGAAATTATAAAATAAAAAGGGAACTTTTATAAAAAAAATTAATTAATTAAAGTTAAAAGCACAATAATATGGTTCAAATCAAGTACAAATGTACGCGATTGAGATTGGAAGACAGCTGTATAGCATATCGATAGGAACAAAAAAGTCAATGGAACCCGTAAGGCATAGTTTTAAAAACCTATTAAATTATTTTGATACTTTCCACTCTAAGCTTAGACACTAAGAGAGCCATTTTTTTGCCAAGTTCCTAAAGGGACAACCAGGTGGTGAGGGAAGAGACTCGACATATCCTGGTTGACCACTCCGAAGAAACTCCTGGCGTTTTTAAGTGTAATTTTATTATCTACACGATGAATAATTAAATCTAAATAGAGATGAAAATTAACTAAAGCCTATTTTTATTTATATTTTAATAAACAGTGTTGCTATGAATTACATTCACGGCTGTGAACAAGTCCTGCGGTGTCATAAATTAGATGCATGTCACTTACCTTGCTACAAGCATGCAGATTTTCTATAGTTGCATTAATTTATATTATGAAGAGTTTCGGACCAAAAGCTGTAGAGATTTCATTATTTTCACCTTGAATCTGCGAGACACTATTTCCAAATAAGAGCTACAATTTTTCTGTTCTAAATATTGATATTGTTGTTAAGTAGTTACCAATTCAAGTTGTTTATTATCCTGCATCAACACAGTAATATCAATAAGTAACTGCTTATTATTATCCTTCCTTCATTTTATGAAATTAGTAGAGAGGAATGTTCAATGGAACAATGAATCTCTGTTAGTTTCTTACTAATTCCATATCGCGAGACAAAGGTGCTGTTGGGGTAAATGTAACAACTGACGTAGCTTTAGCGCCTGTTATTATCAATTAAAACAGATAAATGACCATATTTACTCGAATCTTCTTTCTCGTCTCGGTATGTGTGGATGGATCTGTGCGTGGCACGATTTTTTTACCCTCTTTAAGCTTAATAACTCCTGTGTTTTTCGTAGAAAATTTCTGAAACTTTGCAAGGAGGTTTGTGTATTAGGGGGATCGGTGCTATTAAATTTCGGTGGTTAAAGGTCTACGTGGTGTGGAGATAATGGGGGTCGTGTGTCATATCTCGGTAGGGTCGGACTTAATGGAAATTTTACTCGTTACTAGCATTTACAATGATTTTTTTTTAATAAAACCCATTCCTGCCCTTAAAATTAAGCTCTTTTGCCATTTTATAATAATTAAAAATATAAAATGTTTTTTAAAAGTAAAATATCATAACAGATGGCTCCACACACACACACACAGTTTTAAATATTGCCGGGAAAGTTGAGTAACCCATTGCTGAATTTTTTATTAATAGAAGCAATAGTTAGAGTTACGTGTAAGTAAAGTAAGCTAAAATCGCGCAGCTAATAGGGATCATCAACAACCTCAGTAGGTTTCTACAGTAATTTTAATGTCTTCTATCATTCTAAAAGACTGTGCCAATTAAAACTGTTGGATAATTAGCATAATTAATAATAAATAATGATTTCATATTGTTGTCAACAGATTTAGAATTCTAACTTTGAGCTTTGTTTGACCTTAAAGATTTGGCATGGTATCCTGGCTATTTCCAGCTAAGAAGCTTTTGTAAAATGGAAAACTCCAGACACATTGCGATGTGCTAAATTGTATAGCATACTGTGCAATTTAGCATAGCAATCTGTGGATTTAAGTATTTAACATAAAGCAATGTCCTTTATTGAGCTGCAATTGATGCCAGAATTGCTATTTTCGCTGCAATGTTCACACCTTTATTGTATTAATAGCATTAAATACTAAATTTAATCATGATACTATCTAAATATAGAAATTTGAACTAAATTTACATTGTTATTTTATGAAGTTGTACATTAAATCTTAATTATGTTTTGTTTCATCGAATGGAACCAAAATGGCGTCCTTAAGAATGTCTAATCCATTTCAATTTAGTTAATTAAAGCATGTTCTTGTAGCTTTTTATTAAGATTCTTCACTTTGTTGAATTTAGCATTCAATAATATAAAATTAAAAGAAAATTTAGCTACATTTTAAACTGTCAGACATTTTCTCAAATTTTTCAGAGGGGAAAACACACTAATGAAGTAATACAATTGCAAAAAACAGAAGAACAATATATCTTTATTTTCTCTTCCAACAATTTTACTGTCTTGCACACAACATGCATAAACTCTCTTTCAGATACATTAAATATTTGTGTAATAATCTTTAAATTCTTTTCGGTATTTACAGAATTACAAACATATTAGAATGGTTACATCACACATAGATTTCAGTTGAGAGAATTTCAAATCTACAGTTAAATAATTTGCATTTATTTTCGTTTGCTTTTGTTTTTGTTTTGATCAATTTACTTTAATTCTTTGGTGATATGTTCATGTTTAGCTTTGTACAAATGACATAGAAAATGAATAATTATTTTACGCATTTTATATACTGTATATTTATATATATATAATTTCCATTTGAAACATTTATTTAAGGTTTGAAAAATTGTTAATAATTAATGCATTCACTAAAGGGAGAAATCTCTTTGCCATTTTTGAAATTCGACAGAAACTGACATACAAATTATATATTTATATATGTATATATATACACACAATACACAAAAATAACGTACATACATACATAATTTTACATATGTTTGCATCACATCCCTATGCAGGGAGATTTGAGGTTGACTGGATTGTCAAAGAGGGATATGAGATTTACACATATACTTCAAAATCTCCGTCCTTTATGATGATTCATACGGTAAACTTGGATCACGTTTTTTGCAATTATTATTATTATTATTATTATATTTATTTATTTTCCCACAATATTCGTTTTACTTTGAATCAACTGTTTACCGTATTGCTAAACCGTTAATTCCATCAGCAGGTTGCAAAATCACGTCTCTAGTAAGTCGGTTATTTGACTTGTAAAGCATGAACTTGTGCGTACATTTGCACCATCCTCATAATTATTTTCCGAACAATTGTTGCTGTAAAATTAATTACATTTTAATTAAATAGGAAGTAAATTCTACAAAGGATTGAATGAATTTTACTTACTACACCTGATCCTATTTGCTGCAGAAAGCTAGATGCTTGATTTGCTGGACTTGTGCCACCACCAAGTCCAGCACCGCATATGGCTGCAGCAGAATAACGTCTCATACCCGATCTACCCGAACTAAAGAAGTCTACACCTAGATTAGGACTTGTCTGAAAAGAAATTTGCATTGTTTCAATCAATATTTTGTTTTTTTTCCATCTTTTGCATGAGATTCGTTATGATGATGAACTTACTTTTGTATCCTGCATTGGTTTGCTATTAGAAAATCCAGTAAAAGCGGGAAACGAAACCTGAAAATAAAGAATTGAAAGTATATATCATTAAAATAAACATTATACTGTATAATATTTTTTTAGATGTCTTCAATACAATTTGTGATGCAATCAAATAAGAACTAGCGCATCTCGCATATAATTGCATCATGTGCAAATATATTTCAAACTAATAGTGTCTTTGTTGTTTCATTAAAATACTAACATATATTTGAAAAACTAAAAGTTCTGAATAAAAAATTAAAAGTAAATTACATCATGTATTCGATATATAACGTGTACATGAAAAACGAATGGATCGTGATATCTCGTTGCATGAAAAGTGAATGGTAGTAACTAATAAAAATCACATTGCACTGCCCAAATATTGCATAATTTGCATTGAAAACTATCTCTATAAAACATTCAAATATTAATCAGGGTTTTTCATGAAGGCCCAGATTGGATTCAAATATTGATCAGGTTTTTTCATGAAGGCCCAGATAGGATTCAAATTCGGATCAGCAGAACAGTTTGAAATGTAATTTCTGATCTTTCATCTGTTTAAGTCACTTGTATTGAGAGTCACGCCTGCTTATAATGGATACAATCAACACTTATGCTGATGTCATAAGTTAGAAAATCAAACAAATCCCTTAAGTGTAAAGAAATAAAGGAATCTTACTTTTGGCGACGAAAAATGGAATCTACTATCTTGTGGTCCCACGCTGGAGTGTCGTCTTACTGGTAACATACCCGCACTAGGACCTCTTGAAAGGGTCCCTTCTGGGCTACAGGGTGCAATGAGGATTCTAGGAGGTTGGATAGTGTTATCGGAATGCCGACGACCTGGCAAATTAGCTTGAACCCGCAGTAGATTAGAATCAGGTGACGATGACGCTGAGGAAAATAAAATATATCGGATTACATTGACGTGACGAGTAGAAAACAAAAGATATTTTAATTTTAATTAAGAAAATAATTATAGTCTACCGGAACTTGCTGTTCTTCTTACAACGTCATCGACACTAATCGAAGTTCTTCGCGATTCCAGACGAAGAGATGGTGGTCTGTGAGGATAACCAGTTGATTGTTCCATGCTATATTGTAATTGCACTGGCAACCTGAGGATAGTTTCGAGTTTTATCACACAAATTATGATACAATTTACTGTATTTTCTATAAAAACTAAATAGTTACATGTCAGTGGAAGGTATAGAGAGTTTTTCTAGTTTCAACTTATTTCTTTGGCTTTTTGCAACATGTTGAAGCATTTCTTCCAATAATTCGATTAAACTAGTAAACTGCAACATATAAATTAGTTTCATTTTTAAAATTACAAAATTTTCATATATATATTTTAAAAACACAATAGTATATTTGTGAATCGAAAGATGGCGCTACAATATAAATTTTCAACTTTTCATAGAAAATAGATATTTCATTGTGTTTTCGAGATTATACTTTATAACAATTTATTTTAATCTATTATTTAAAATATTTTATATTAAAATCTAACTTATATTAATCAAAATGTGATTAAAATATTATGATCATGTTCAGTGGTGTAACCAGAAATTTTAGTCCCTTAAGTAAAATATGGTAAAGGGCCTCCTAGAATCGCCCATGTGGCAACGCAACGCATGGGCGATTCTACAGAAAGACTTCCCGGGAAGTCTTTCTGTAGAAAACTTGCCTCTATTTATGTTACAAATGTGAAGAAAACACGAAAAATTCCAGGTGGCCAGCCCATCGACTAAGTACGAACCCAGACCAACCAATGCCCAGTGGTTTTATCCAATGGGCCATTGGTGAGCCATACATTTTGTTTCATGGAGTACATTAGGTACTTAAAATAATATATGCTAATAATATATAGTTAAATTCTCATCTTTTCACTGATCAAGTTTAGTTTGAATGTTCTTTGTCACGAATATCAGCTTAATTAGGGTTGCATAATGACGTGAGACAGAAAAACGGGGAAATAAAATTACGGTGCCAAAGCCTCGAGGACCACACATTAGGAATTAGCGGGCTGAGGATTGCTCGTGACTGATTTACAGCCAATATTCTGGTTACATAATTAAATTAGCGGGTAAATAATATAGGTTATAACAACAAGTTAAAATTTCAAATTTATGATTTTTGTTAAATATATCTCGTATAAGTTGGACACACATACTGGGTGATTTTTAATTCGTGCAAAACTTGAATAACTTTTCAACCAAATGAGATAGAAATAAAATTCATAAAGTACTATGTAATACAATGTTGAATTATTTGTAAAGAAGTTTAAATGTTGTTGGGTATAAATCTTGCATAAAGTGTTTAAAAGCTTTTACAGCATGTTTGAGAAGCGTGTAATTGGATTAGATTACGAAAAATATGCCGGTGGTGTCGTTAAATAACTACCTTATAGCCCCGACTTAAATCCATATGATTTATTTTTATGGGGCTATCTTAAAGATAGGAGCATTGTGATATTCTGAAGAGTTGATAGACACGATAAAAAAGTAATAATGATGATTCCAAGAAAGACCTTTATTACCGTTATTGAATGTTTCAAAAATCGGTTAAAAACTATTATTGCGAGCGAAGGTAGTCATTTTGAAAACCTAATTTATTAAATGGAAATAAATTCTGTATAATATGCTTTTTGAATTTTCATTTTATAAAATTTTTCTTATATAATTAAATAAATTTTCATCTTTATACTGTTCTGTAGAAACAATGACCAAACCAGGCTCTGAGCACTGTTAAAGCGTAAGGTCCCCTTTATGTCATGAGTCCTTACGCGTCGCTTAACAGAGCATAATAGTAGTCACGCCACTGATCGTATTTCATTAGCAAGATTTAAATTCATAAATATTAACTTCAATTATTAAATTGGCAAACTGAAGCTTATAGAAAAAGGTTAATATAACTGATCATACTTGGTGCAATTATCATCAAAGGAATCTTACCTGATCAAGTTTTAAAACAGGACTTACTACTACTGGAATTAAGGCAGGCATCACTTTAGTTGCCAGAAGATTTACTGTCAAACCGTACCTTTTATCACCGAGCATATGCTTGTAAATTCCTAAATAAAATTTTTTAAAAAGATTTATTTTAATCTTATATAAAATTCATACCTCACAGTGTTAATAAATAGAATATTATAAAAATAATTAAAAACAATTCTTCAAATAAGATACAATTCTGAGAACACAACATTCGTATAAATAAGTTTTTTAAACATAAAAACGGATCTTTGCAATATTCTATGATATAATGCAGAAATTATAGTCGACTACTCTATAAATATAAAAACTGAACTATGTATTTATCTCTTTGCAAAAGGTTATTGAATGGTTTAAAAATTATTATAGATTAAAAATTAAATACATTACACAGTGAACCGAATTACGTAATGGTGATTATAATCTTACTAAATATTATAATATTATTATGTATGTTCCTTATAATTATACTAAATATACATCATAATGAATACAGAGGATTATTAAACTGATAATATGATATTTATTATACAATATAATCATATGCCATGATAGATTATTCTATAAGCAAATTAAGTCTTTGTTTGGATTGGATTAGATTGAAGGCATGCGGCAATGAAACAAACGATCTGCCAGAGGTATGCCTCCAGGAAAGCCCACCAGTGGCCGAGTGGATAAAACAACTATAACTAAACACTTGTAGTTAATAGATTCGCACCTCGCTAACGGGATAACCATGTGGAGTTTTCCATGTTCTCTTCACGTTAGTAACACCTAAATAGGGGCCAGTTTCCTTTACAGACCTCCCGAGAGGCATTCCCACTTGGAAGATCGCCCATGCGTCGCTTTATCGTAACCAAATAAATAAATCAAACCTCCTGGAAAGACTTTACGGTGAAACTGGACCTACATAGGTGTTATACAGGTGAAGAAAATCCAGAAAATTCAACACGACCAGCTTACTGTCGGGCATGCTATGTCTAATTAATTGGTCTCCTCTAATGTGGGTTTGAAAACAATTCCGCTTAGTGCTCTAAGAAGGTAAATAACGGAAAACTAGAAAACGTTAAATAGTTTTGTTCTTTAGTTTTGTAAAGGCTTATTCAAAATGATTTCTAATACAAAAGAAAAAAGCCTCAACGAGTAACTTAACTTTCTCGGCAACAACATCTAAAATTTCTGCTATAATATTTTATTTAAAAACCTTTTTATATTATTAATTANGCGTTAAATCATTTTAATTCTACTCGAACAAAACTTTCCACTATTTTGATCTAATTTATTATTTTTAAATAGAATATTATAAAAATAATTAAAAACAATTCTTCAAATAAGATACAATTCTGAGAACACAACATTCGTATAAATAAGTTTTTTAAACATAAAAACGGATCTTTGCAATATTCTATGATATAATGCAGAAATTATAGTCGACTCCTCTATAACACTGTTGATAATTTCGTTTTATATGAATTCCATGTTGTACGAATCACTTAGATTTTACAAATACGTGTGCCGGGCTGTGAACGGCTCACGTATTTGTAAAATCTAAGTGACTCGTACAACACGGAATTCAAATAAAACGGAATTATCAACCGTGTTATAGGGGGGTCGACTGTATACAGTATTAATAAGTTTCAACGATATTATTGGTTTAAAAAAATGGTTGTCTGAATGATGATTGGTGGAGAAAGCAGAAAAATCAATTTTAAATCGTATTTAAAATTTAAAATATAAAATATCGTTATTTTAAATTTTAAATTTTATTAATTATTTTTAAGACTTATAAAATAGTGTATATAAAATAATCTTTCTTTTAAATTCTTTATATTATTATCTTATATTAATTTCTGAATCCATATATGTTCATAAAAACCCATCTCTAATTTTATTTCTTCTTTGAAATTCCAGAAATCTTAATATTTATTTACATGCAATATTCTTTGAAAATATAATTTAATATTAATGTAAATCGTAAAGATTTGGCAAAAGATACATTATGATTTCATAGCAATAACATGGTATCGTATGAGAACTTATATCAGTATAATGTATTTTCAATGGATTCGATGCTGTGGAATTATGATAAAGTAAGAAGATTTTTCGTTAATAAATTGTAATTAAAAAGGATTATTTTATTTTTAGAATGAGCAATTGAAAACTTTGACGCCAAATTGACGTAAAAGTATGCCTCACCTCACATAAAAACCTAAAAGAAATACAGTATACAGTATATTACATTACAGTTTAGTACAAATTTAATATTAGAAATTAATTTTTGGAATGACTACAGTCAAACCTCGGTTTTAGAACGACTCAGTTTTCGAACAAATCGGTTCACAAACAGAATTTCCAACTCATAATTACATCGGTTACCGAACCTATTCGGCAAGAGCCCGCCATAGATTAGAGAGAGACAGAGGATCAACTTCCTCTACTTCCTTCTTTATGTTAAATGGTAAGAAAGTCGATGACCCGTCCAATCAACGATAAGACTACCGATTCAGAAGTTAGTGGCGCTGAGATTCGCTTGACGTCATTAGACATCACGACACGAATCATCGATGACCTGCTATTTTAAAATACAGTATAACTAACTTGTAAGACATGGACTCAAATTACAATAAAGCTTTGGCTAAACTATTTTCCTTTAATTATATCTGTGTGTTCTTTCCTTTATACAAAAAATAATTATATTTTGAAGTACACGTTCTCTTTATATATATATATATATATATATATTACTTTATATGGAAAAGCCTATCAATCATTTGCTTTAGAAAAATGATGATGTAAAAAATAACTTGCACAATCTATCATTATTTAAATAATAAATAATGATAAAGTAGGGAGAATTTTTTTAGATATTTTTGTTCTTTTGATAGTTGGAAGCGGTGTTGGAACTCATCTGTTCCAATGTCGCTGCTTCCACAAGCAATTTTCAATGTTTAAATAAGTCATAAAAAAATACTTCTTGTATTTTTAGATAGAGTATAATGAAATTTATAAGTTCCTAGGTTAAAACAATTTTTTTTTAATTTTAATTTTAATATTTGCTTAATTTCACAGTGTAAGCGTATTTACAAATTGATTTTGAAAAGTTTGCGCTCTTTTGCTTTAATATGTGAAATTTATTTCATAAAAACTAAATTATTATTATAATTACGGGGTTTTAGTGTTTATTTATTATAAAATAAATGATAAGAGATAAAAATAATTCTTACTAATTATTGTCTTTCCTCAAAAGAACGTGTAATAAATAGCTGCTAATTTATAATATATTAATTCGTATCAGAAAGTTAAATTTTATTTTGAGTCAATCTCACATTTGTGATATATTTTAAATAATTTTGTAAATTTATTAAAATTTTTTTAAATTAAAGATCCATTTTATATTTATTTTCAATTATTATTTTATTGTATTAGAGTATAAAACAGACTTAAGTTAGTGTAATTGAAGAAGAATAAAAAGGAAGAAAGAAAGATGAAGTAGAAGATATGGGCAGGAGAAAAAAGATGAGGAAGAGAATGGAGAACAGGAAGAACAGGAGTGAAGGAGAGAGAAGAGGATTGGATTGATGGTATAAGTCCACACAACACATGGGGCGATCTGCCAAAAGGGATGGTGTCTTCCGGGAGAACATTATATGGGAAACTGGCCCTTAGTTAAGTGTTAGAAAATATCTGAAAACTCCACGCGATCAGTTCGCTGAGAGAGAGAAGAAGGAGGAAGAGAAAAGAAATGTAAAAAAAAAAAAAAAAAAAAAAAAAAACAGAAAGAGGGAAAAAGGAAAAGGGAAAGGAAAAGAATAAGAAGTAGTATAGAAGTTCCAGAATTATTCTAAGAAATACTTTAAATTGTTTAAAGAAATGTGATCATAGAATAATTCTGGACATAATTCTGGACATTCTGTGGTCATAGAATAATTATATATATATATATAAAAGATAGTCAATTGAATCAAAGAAAGAGAAATAAAAATAGATACATGAAGATTTTTAGTAATTATCAAAAACAATTTCCTACCCTTTAACAACAACGAAAAAAAAAACAATGAACTCTAGTTAATGAAATGATTATATGTCAGTGACAAGAGTCGAGTCTATCAAAACTCTGAAGTATTCTTTTTATGTGAACGTTCCAATTTTCTGTTCGACATTCCCACTTTACCACTACAGATAATGACAAATCGAAATATTTTCTGAAGTAATCGAAATCAGAACTATTGACTTAATAAGAAAATAAAAATAATAATTTATTGTAATATTTTATCATCATCAGCATTTATCTTAAAGAAGAATTATATTATAACAATACCGCTAAAATTCTTTGACATCTTTACTTCATGTAATGTTAATAATTTATAATAAATATATAAATTTTTTATGCGATTTCAAAATAAAAGAAGGATATTTATAACATATAAATAACGTTTCTTGAAATCAGACAAAAATAATTTCGAGAAAATTTTAATTTTTTAGAAATATAACTATAGAACACCACTCAATATATAAATTCTAGTTTAAAGAATAGTTCAGAAGTTAGGTATTTGTATTCAGAACCTGAAATTACGTAAATAAGAGCATGGTACCGATGTGTCACGTGGTAAAAACTTGTTCGGCAACCCATCCATTGAACAAGTTCATATCATGTGACATACTCAACATGTTTGTATTGCTACTCGCGTACTCGAGACTAGGCATTGAAAACTGTAGTTTTCAACCTCTTTCTTTGAACCGAAATCTTCAAAAAAAAAGATCACGAAGAAACTATATTTGATCTTTACTCGAATCATTATGATGAATAAATTCTAATAATTTAATATATAGATAAAGTCATTGGTTCCCTTCCCAACAACAAACAAACACATTTTTTCTGTAGAACTTTGATTTCTTCCACTAGCAAGATATTAAACCTATGTATCAACTTTACTTCAATCCTTTATTTAAATAATTAATGTACATCCTGCAAGAAAAGTCTTTAAATATGAAGAATAAATATACAAGAAGAGCCATTAATCAATGGCATATTGTTATTTTTTCTTGGAGTGGATTAAAAAAAATTACAATTTTTATATGAAATATTTATAATAAAGCGTAAAAGATAATATTTATCTTCGTATCAGAAATAAATGTATATATAATAAGATAAGAACTAGGAGAAAGTGAAACGAGTGCCATGGATCCTCGCGAGTTAAACATGCGATAAAATTAATTACTACATTCATAACAATTACAGATAATTATTTTAATTTATAAATACTAAAAGTATATTTTTTTCTATAATTAAATTATATAAAATTTATATAATACATATAAATAACAGCTATCTTAATGAATACTTTATATCTTCGTAACCAGAGCCAGATTTAAACTTGTGTCCTTAAGTTATAATATATAAGAGGTCTTTCCCTTCTACCATATAAAAATGAACTTAGAAACGTGAAGTTCTAAACTATAACTTGCCAGTTAACAATGTTTAAATCCAGCCCTGATCATAAATTTTATGAAATTTTAGCAACTATATGAAAGTTTCTAGCGGTAAAAATCTGTAATTTAATATTTTAAAAAAATTTAATATTCAAAAATAAAAAAGAAAAATAAACATTTTAAACTTAGAAAAATCGATCAAGAACAAGTTACTTACTTACAACTGGTACAAGAATAATTGGATCTTGTAACTTTGCTTTACCTAACATCGGTAATACTTCGTCCAAGATGTCAGTTTTTTCCAGTTTATCGATAATCTTTTCAACACACGTAAGAGCATTGGCCTGCACCTGAATAATGCAATCTTCCTGAAGTTGTGTCGATAAGGAGAAGATAAACAAGGAAGAAAGGAAATTTAATGTGTGTGCACAAGCAAAATTTAGCGGTGCAAAAAAGATTCAGCGAAGAATAACATGCTTTTTTTTATTATAAAAATAAGATGCAAAAGTTAGTTTTTTTTTTCTTTTCCTTAAGAGAAGATTGGATAAGCAACAGACAGTTTCAGAATTGATAAATAACAAGTCTGATAAGTATCTTAAGAGGTTGCGATAAGGTAAAATGTGCTATAAATTGACATAAAATCATGCAAAAGAGTTTTCTACAATAAATTTAAATGTATTCGGTGAATTATAGCATTTCTGTTCGTTTAGTTGGTATTATGCACAATTTATGTCAATTTTGTCGTTTATATCAATTTGACATTCTTTTTTAACACTTGATCGTTATAAAATTGAAACGTCGACGTTAAATTGGCATAAAAGTATGCACAATAGGCACAACAGCAATCAAACTAACAGACGTAGCTATTGAGTCTACGCTTCATCAAATGACCAATTAGGTTTCTTATTTGTTGCATGTCTGAAGCCGGATTAGTCATTTCAAAAAACGTAAACATTACTTACTTAAAATACTTTTTCTTTTATTTTGATAAGAATTAATATTATATAAACGTTTGAAACAGTTTTAATACAATTTTTTTTATTAATAATCGCGAAAATTAATATTAAATATACGGGGTGAACCAAAAGTAGGTTGACAGTAGGTGAAATAGGGTTTATGTTAAGATGTATATTTAACTTATTTATATAATTATGATTGAAAAATTACATCTGAGATGCATTTCAAGAAATTAATACACAAAGATATTTATGCAAAAATGTTTGTCGAAGAGTGAAACGGTGAAATGTAGACTTCAAAGTGGTGTGATGGATAGCAGTTTGAGTACTTGCGTTAATAAAATTGTATTGTATTGTATTAATAAATATAATTGTATATGTAATCTCAGCAAATGTTATCATTTACTGTCCACCTATTTTTGTTTCAACCTGTATGTTTAAGGAATTATTTGATAGCGAATAACTTTCAGTGGCGATTTTAGGTTGTGCGAGGCAACGAAAAAGTAAGGATTTACGAAATTCTTTTATATAACATAATATAATTTATAAATCTCATATCATACAATACTTGATACTTTACTACATGACCTAGGATTCTGGTTACTAACTCACTAAATCTAGTAGTATCGAGTATATTTGTGAGTGTCTAAGGCCTCTAAAAGCCCGAGGCCCCGAGCAAAGATCTAGATTGTTTATACCTAAAACTGCCACTGACATCTTTATACAAACAAATTTTATTTTTCAAATTTAATCAATTTTAGAATTGAATCTCGAAAAAAATCTTTAAAAAAACAGATTAAATTATTGAATTTTCTCGTTATTTAGCACTTCTTTGTTTTTAAAAAAAAATTACCTTAACTCCCGAATTATTTTCAAATACTTGCTTGGTCCTGGGCAGCACCATTTTTCTAACAGCTGTTTCTTCTAAGTAATCAGCAATTTGAGCTACTGCGTGCAATGCAGCACACTAAAAAAATTAACAGAAAATTAAAGAAAAAAAAATTTAAAAGAATTCTCCAACTAATTTAATTTTCAAAACTTTTTACTTACTTGAATTTGAGGCGTTGTCGAATCAAATGCATTATAAAGCATTGGCAATACTTCAGCTTTTATATCACTTTTCGGTGTTTTACTCATAATAATGTCGAGATTTTCTAATAAAGTTACGGTTGCCTGCGATTTAAATAATATAATTTAATTAAAATTTAATTATATTAGTGTTAAAAGTTACAATTATTTTAAGAATTTTATTATTCTCTTAATGGTTGGTTGCCATCATCGGCTCGTAGAGACTGCAAGAATTTTTGTGAATTGTTAAATATTTCGTGTCGAGAACTTTCTAAATTAAAATATGGTTTCATTTATTCACGTTTTATTATCTATATATTTAAATTATTTAACTGTAACGAAGATAAAAACTTATTTGACGATTCTTTTCGAAGTAAATTTGAATATGATGAAGATAAATTGATGGTTTCTGAATTAAAAATATTAATTTAATAATGATAAATTCATCATCATCATTGGTCTAATGACTTATTCGCATCATTACGCATTCATAAAACAGCATTGATTATCGTTAATTAATTCCTTTCGTCATCATTCCATTCATTATTAATAGTCAAATGATATAACCCATAGAATTTATTAAAAATCAAATGATCCTTATGGAAAATGTAATTTAGAAATCGACATTCCCGCAATTAACGCCTTGTATTTTTATACAGAAGACGTTAAATATAGGAATTTAAAACCAATATTTTTCTTGAATTATTTCTTAATTTTAAATATTTTTAAAGGACTTTATAATTGAATAAATGTATTTAAGCTTATAAAATTTGCAAAGAATTGTTTATAATCGAAAAGTAAAAGAAAAAAAATGCAGAAAAGATAAGTGAATAGAAAGAGAAAAGCTGTGTGAAGACACAAAGATGCCACGTGAAGTGTATGACACAAATGTAACCACAATGCAAAGAGGAGAAGAGAAACCGCAGTGTGAAGAAGACAAGAAAGACAAACGAAAAAAGAAAAAGGCAATAAGACAAAAGAAGAAACGACAATAAACACAATTAAAGAGGACTAAAACTGACAAGTGATGAGAAATGTCATGAATAGTCAGGCGATTTGAAAAGGAAAGCCACATAAAACGAATCACAAAGAGAAAAAATAATGGAATCGGTTGAAAAAGAGAGGAAGATTATGAAAATAAACACACAAAAAAGAAATGGCAAAATTTATATAATATATATAAATTAATTATAATTAGCACACTAGTGATTGTTTAGTTGTTGACTCACTATAAGTTGGCACCTGCAGACTATACGAAAAGGGCACAAGCTATACAAAAGAGCATATACATTATGTAAGAAGCTTCAAATTATAATTCAACGTTGGTCAAGTTTTGGTCAACATACGACGAAGTTGCATCAGACAATGATAAAAATAGGCCTACTTTTCGTAAACATGGATTATACAAAATATCTATGGCCTGCTTAAGCTTGTTGGATTAGTGGGATAACAAAATATGGGATATCTGTCTAGGAGAAGAGCCTCCAGGAGGGGGACTTTCTAAGTGAAACTGGCCTCTATTTAGGTGTTAGACACACGAAGAAAACCCAGAAAATTCCACGATAATACAGCTATTGGTGAGGGTGACCTGCTTAATCAGACTTATACACAATTTGGCCCGTCAATCGAAAAGTTTAAGCGTTATTGGTTCATACAAAGACATTAAAGACACAGAGCAAAATGTTCTTAAAATTATAAATATATATGAAAGTGTATACACATAAATGTATGTCTTAAAAAATTATTACATGTCTACCTATTCTTACCGATTTTATTGGTAAAAATATTCAAATTACCTGCATATTTACTAAAGCATTTTTTAATTGAACCGGTTTACCAATAATGCAATAAATCCCTATCCAGTAAACGAGCAACTACTGTATGCCTTTTAATCTTTTCCACGTTACAAAAGAACTAGAATTAAAAATTATTTCCACATTTCACATAAGATTATCCTTTAAATTAAATAAAGTAATCAGTAGAAGCCCTTCTCCTCTATTAAATACTAAATTTTAATGCTTGAGGCCTTAGCTGTAATCTCGTGGAGTAAGGCCTTAAACTGTAGCTCCTATCATTATATTTGCATAATAAATTCGAAATCCAATTAAAAAAGAGAAAGCAAAACTTTGATACCTCTTAAGTAAACTAATTTCCAAGAGATAATTTACAAAAGAAGGTATTAAATTCATTAATAACATCACTTACTTGAAAATTATTAATCTAATTAATCTTAAGCAACACAAAAATCAAAGCAGAACATCAAGAAAATCTTCCTCATCTAGTTATCAATCCCGATTTTCCAAAAGAAAAAGAAACTAAAGGCAAGAATGAGTAATTAAATCAGCTTAATTAAATATCATAAGAGGAATTAATTTTCATTAATTAATAATAATAATAATTCTTATTCCATTTAACAAAATCTTTTCTAAATTAAATAAAAATTAGAAATATTTAAAAGCTTGTTTTTCTTGTTAATCTCTTCACTTCTAGAACGTGTTCTACATCATTAAAATCGTTCATCAAAATATCCCTTTACAGACGTTTACCTTTAATCGCTTTAAAGTAAAATATTAATTAAAATAAATCCTCTTTAAATAACAAAATTACACGATCAATTACTTGTAAATTAGAATTTCATATTTATCTAAAAACATACAAAAGTAATGGAAAGTCTTGGGCATATGGGCATGAAACCTAAACAAACTTCATAATTTTTTCAGTTATTTTTGAGGGAAAATGACGTTATTTCTACTTAAACAATTTTTTTGAAGGAATTAAATTAAAAAATTATTTATTTTTTATGATTGAAGATAGAAACTTTTACAAAATTTTAATTTTTGGTTGAAGTATTCTGTCTGTCCTTCAAAAACAATACAAAAAAACTTCAAAATCTAATAAAAATTAAAATAATTTTTTTAGTTTCTAGGAGGAAAATATGTTGTTTTCCATTTAAAAATGTATTTTTTAAAGTAATTATATCAAAAAAATATACAGTTCTTGAATATAATTACTTCAAAGAACCTTAACACAATTTTTTTTTGTTTCTTTTGTAAAGTAAATAAGTTATTTGCCATTGAAAAAAATATACATGTTTTAATAGAAAACACCTAAAAAATAATCAATATAAAATGAAAAATTGGAATATTTTTAGAAGGAATTTAAAAAAATATTTTTTTCAAATATATCAATTAAAATTTTTTAAAATATAATTCCTAAAAGAAAATCTATTCTTAATGTCAACAATACATGTTTACTTAAAGCAATACAGAGAGACTACTTTACCAACAAGATATCTTATATCAACAAATAAATACTTTCTTAGATATTTTTAACACAGATATAATTGAGTTAAACTGAACAACAAACCTACATCATGAGATAGTAATTCAGAATTTATCTTTAGTAATGAATCATTAGAAATATTCTGGAATTCTGTGTTCCAGAATTATCAGAAACCTTCAAAAACTTGTTACTTATTATTTATTTTAAGTTTCTGATTATTCAGTCAAGAATAATTGAAGTTAAATGTTACAGAATTTAATAACTTATTTAATAAAATAAAACATTTATAAAGAAAATTAGGGTAGATTTTTTTTATATGTGGCATTAAGTAAATTGTCTTTTCTAATAAAATCCTTTTTTTTTTTTTGTTTTCGATTAAGGACTTGTGTACATTGAGTGAAGGGTGTGGATGACATTAACAATAAATTATAAACTTTGTAGTGGGAAGACATTTAGAAAAGAGAGTGTAACTTTTTTAGAATGCCTTTATCTATCATACCATCACCATAAAGCGATTATTTAGGAGGTTCCTAAGGGCGTTGTCAACTTTATAGACCCAACATGATGTTTTTTATGGAGAAGATAAATGGCATTTTTAACAATATTCCAAGAAAAATATGACACGTGAATACAGTTATATTATTATTGATGATCTTTTCATTGCAATTGAGGGATGAATTGTTTTGAGTTGAAAGTTTGTAGAATTTTTCTATATATATAAAAGACTGACCTGTACTGATTTTGGCATACCGAAAACACTTCTAAATACAGGAAGAATTAAGCTCTGATATTCTTCTGGTGTGCTTTCTTCAATCATGAATAATAAAGGCTGAAGAGCGGCTGCCAATACTTCAGGTGATTGTAATTCAGCCTTCAAAGATGGAAGAACATGTTGATACCAAAGTTTCTGCTCCAAAAATACGATTTTGTAAGATAAATTTATAATAAATTGCTTAAATTGATGAAAATTTACTGTTACTTACCCTAGGAATTGTTGGTAGAGCACCTTTTAAACTATGATAAAAATGAGATTTGTGTGTGGAATCCTTCATCTGTATAACATCTAAATATTGAAGAGCATGTACAGCTGGATCCATAAAGTATTTGATCTAAAAATTTTAATATTTTTAGTCTAATTTTATGAAAATTTATGGATTAAATCATAAATGCATACCATTGAGAAATTCTGTGCATTTGGCCTCTTCCATGGCTCCATTTGTAGTAATCCTTGAAGTGGTTCTTGCAGATGATGAGGAATTCTATCCAACAAGTCATGCAAAGTGTGCTCTAGCTGATAAAGATCACACAGACTAAGGCCTTCTCCTGATAGCCACAAATACTGGAAGGAAGAAAATTGTAGGAACTCCTACCTAACTAGGGATATCCCTCGATCCCTGATCTAATTTATCCTCATTCATTTACTAAATATTACTATTAACTAATTAATTATTATAACATACGCTTATTATATTAAAAATTTAAATTTTGTTCCCCTAGCCTAAATATTAAAAAATATCTTCCTTCTGTATTTTATAAATGTCTTTTAAATAAATCTTAAGAAGTTTTGCAAGAGAAGAAATTAAGCAAAATAATTAAAATAAATGTAGGATGTCCTCCGTGAATTATATAAAATATAAAGTAGAAGAGATCTTAACAACGATTGGCTGAAAGTATGGTTGTTTGGAAGATAACTGTATTAAAATATGACTATCTCAGTCAGGATTGGTGAGATCAGGACGTAAATTTCATTTAAACCAATCATCGTAAAGTTTTTAAAGCTTGATATCATATATATATCGCAGAGGACCACCTGTATTTATGAAATATTTTATGTTTAATTTAATTTTTACTAATTATTTATATTAAGCCCTATATAAATTTCCTAATTTTTCTTCCAGAAAGTAATATAAATTTAAAACATTCCTCTTTTTCCAGATATTTTTTTTAAAAATTAATTAATTATTTAATTAAATTATAATTAATTACCCACCATATCTAATTGTTTATTATAATTTGTTGAACTTAAATTCGCTTCGATTAATGATCTTCCATTATTAAATATGGCACATATTAATAGTCCTAAAGAGAACATATCACTTAAAGGTGAGCAGGTCGATGTCGCTTGTACCTCAGGTGCTGTAAAATCTATATCAGGCTGGCCCATTTTCGGTAACTTAGAAGTAAACGGCTGACAAGGCACGGGACTCTGAAACATAAGGTGAAATTCATCCCTTGAGAGTAGTAACATTAACAATAATTGAAACGTTATTTACGGTGCTACAATTAAAGTGTAACTGTATATAAAATTATAACTATATGAAATAAATTGTTCATGAATAGGTTAATTCTGTGAGGAAATTAAGCTTAAAAATGCCTTAAAACTGAAAAAAATGGCGATTTTAAAGCACGTATATGTCTATTCGATTTGGTTGGATAATGCAAATTTTTACGTAAATTTGACGTCATTCTTTAAAACTTTCATTGTAAAACTGTTCCGACGACATCAATTTGACGTAAAAATAAAGTCAATACTTCTGAAAGTTACAAATTTTTAAATTTAAATCGTTAAAGACACGCCCACATTTTAATTTCAACAATCTGCATTATTAAAATTACATCTTAAACATATCACAGAGGACCACCTATATTAATAAATACATTTCTATTTAATTTTGCCTATTCCATAACTCTCCAAATTCATCATATTCATTAACAATGCATTTTATTTACATATAAAGTAAACTACTGATGAATACGTTAACTCCATATGGTAATTAAGCTTAATTAAAATTAGTTATGAAAACTAAATGTTAGAAAACTGCAAATTTTTGAAATTTAAATTGATTAAGATCCGCCTTGTTAATTATGATATCAACTAATTTCAAATAGAAATTAAAAAGTAAACGTGTCTTTTAGTCGTTAAAATTATATCTTAAACATATTGCAGAGACCCACTTCTGTTAATAAATGTATATAACTGTAATTTCGCCCATTCTACAACTCCCAAACTCACCATATCCATTAGCAGTTAACTATATATGTATATATAAACATCTTTATCATGCAAATTGCAATATAATAACCATCTGATTAATGATAAATCTCGAGAAAGTTTTATCTGTTATATGTTTATCTATTAACCACTTAAAGCATTAGTGAAATTAATAATAATAATAATATCTCGCGAAGAGCATAATTAAGTTATTAAATGCAAATAAAGATATTTGAAGAAAATTAATTACCATTAAGTCCGATTCATTGCATTTTTCAGCAAACTCTAATCCTGATAATTTCCAAGTGCCTCGCCTGTTGATGATCACAGATTGTGGACATAAATTCCGATGAATTAATTTACAGGAATAATGAAGAAAGGATAACGCTTCAGTTAACTGTAAAATGTAAGAAAAAATAATACAAAATCGATATTTCATCAAAAAAAAAATATATATATATTACAATTATTCTCTTGTTATATAAACCTCATAGCAAATTATGATCAGTATTTATTCATTGATTTTCCTAAGGCTTTATCTAAAATATAAATTGGGAAAGTAAATAAATAAACAAGACAATTGACTCGTTCGATCTAAACAAATCTAATTAGGAAGCATTTCTTTCTTCTTCTTGGATTTATTATTTTAACAATTGAGCAACCACTAAATAGGAATTTAAATCATCGAAAAAGGCTTAGTTTTTCCTTATTTTAACACAATTTTTGAATAAAGACGTATCAAACTTTATGCTTTTTAATGAGTAGGCTTTAAACGGTAATAAATTTTTGTCAATTTTAAACAGATATCCATTAGACAACACTTATAAATAAGGAACGTAAAGAGGATACCTGAAGGAGGCCATATTTAATCTCTATGTCTAAGAAGGTGTAATCTCTAACGGACGATGGGAGATTTTGTGGTAATCTTTCTTCCAAACATCCCAGGATGTTGGCTAAACTTCCCAATACAGGTTCAGTGGCGAATGCTAGAGTTTCACTAAAAAATAAAAGGACTAAAAATATATTTAACCTCTCTTTGTTTTTCTTAATCTTCTTAATATAATAACTAGTTTTAACTGGAATTTGTTACTCTGTATACACAATTCTTTCGATAGATTTTTAAATATAAACCTTTAAAAGATATATATATTTTTTAATAAATAGAAAAGATATAAATAGAGTAATTTAGAATTGTTTTAAGTTTAAAAATAATTATTTTGTTGTAAGTAGCAATGAATTAGGATGTAGTAGCATACTTTTTAAAATTTATCTTTTTGGATTTCTTCACCTGTACAGATTAATCAATTTTATACGAAGCAGTTCACAATTTTATTACTTTTACAAGAAACTGAATTATATACATACAAGAAACAACAAATTGTACAAGAAACAGAGCTGTTTCTTATACAATTCATTTATTATTTCGTCTATCTGTAAGCCTACAACCTTCTTGTACTGTACAAATTGTTTCTTGTATGTGTACAATCTCTTCTTTGTACAAGTCCTTGTTTTTGTTTCTTGTACCAACATATAATTACGAAATAAATCGAAAAAAATTCATAATAAATTTTAATATTTAGCAAAAAAAAACTTTATTAATTTTATCATATTTTCGACATAAATTACACTAAATTAAGGAATTTTTCATGCATTTTTGCGATAATTTAAACGCTTAAAATCGTGCTTTAAACGGTTCAAAAACGTAGAAAGAAGTAACATTTTCAAAACAAATTTAATTAAATAAGCTTTAAAAAATAGATTAAGAATATTTTAATTGTGAATTAACTTATAAATTGAATTAACTCATGCAATTTAACTAAACATCATTAAATTACTTTCATATATAAAAGCGTGCTAATTTGTTAAAATTCGAATTCAAATATTCAATTAATAAACTACAAAACCAGACAAATTTTATAAGAGAATTAAAAAGCCAACAAATTATTTATAAGTCATTGTAACTAAAATGCATCGTGTTATTGAAAATATGTCAATTTATTATTATTCGAACGTGATTGGTTGATTTAAAATTTTTTAAAATTCAAATTAACGGATCATTTGTAAGAAAAATTCAATTTACGACGGATAAATTCAGAAATTTTAAGATTAAAAATAGAAGATTATTTGTAATATGATCCGCAATCTTTATTAAACCATTATATTTTCTGAAATAATTATAAAAATCTTGTTATTCAAACTATCCTTAACAGATAAAGATTCGTTAAATTATAAAAATAAAAGTTAAAGTAATAATGATAAATTTTATCCAATTTAGATTAAAAATTTGGCCAAAAAATTGGATATTTCTTGTGCAGAAAGACAGATGGTGCTACCAGTACTGACTCTGATGGTTTTAAATTCTACAATGCTCCAGGCACAAACACGTACTTGTGATGACTTCTTTATTATACTATATAACCCATATCATACAATACTTAGGGTCATATGAGGTCTACTACAGCCAGTATTCCGAAGCACGTATTTGCACTAAAAGCGCGACACTCTACGTAAGCGTGAATTCACAATGCCTCTTTTATATAAGTGCAAAGCTGATATTACATAATACTTGATGTTGTACAATTTAGGACCTAGCTAATACTGGATTTTTAGTATTGCACGAAGATCGATTACCGATAAACTTATGTCTACGCCTCTAAAAGCGCGAAGACCTAGATAAGTATATGGGGAAGTAAGCCCATAAATGGCGTATCTTAAAACAAGCGATATCATGCAAACAAATGTAATTTCGAAAAAGATTTATATTATATACACAAACGAATATATGCCACATTGAATAATACTTTTCTGATTAGGCTTTTGTGTAAAGAAATGATGATAAAAAGTAAATCTCAATGTGTCATTATGCCAGCATAATTGTGGGAAAAGCGACATATGCCACTATACATAAGCGAAGCTCTACTCATTGTATAGATCACAAATGTTTTGGAATGGCAAAAAAGTTCATCACATTCCGTATGACTACATTTCTTACATTTTGTACACTTAATCCAAGTCTCCTTCGAACGAGATTGAAGATACAACTCATTGCAATGAGTTATATCTTCAATCTCGTTGGTTACTTCCATCTTTGGATTTCTGTAGGCCTTAGATCTTAATTTAAAAAGTAAAACATTTTATAAAGTTCATTTGTAAATGTTTGTTTCTTGTCCTCATATTTTTACCCTGTACTCTTCTTCGCAGAGTAGGTTGTGGAAAGTGTTTGCATCTACCAATCGATTTCGTTATTCTTTATAATTGAAATTGATCGTTTCATTGATTCACTAATAAGTTGGTCGCGGGTTCGTGCCTTACCAACAAAGTGGCCGCGTGTGTTTCGAGTTTCTTTGGCCTAAATACGGGCTAACTTCCCGTAGAAAGTCTCCCGGAGAGTTCTCCCCGGAAGACTGCTCACTGCTCATATGTTGCGTTGACTATCCCACTAATCCTGCAATTCTTCTTATTGATTTCGAAGACCAATTCTGCATACGGCTCTTTCTTTTGTAATTGTAAAGAAAAAAACAGTCTACATTAGGGTATAGTCTGGAGATGCATAAATACGTTTAAGGGCAATTTGCCTTTTACTGTACTGTCATTTTGCCTGCAGAGAGTAGTTTATAAAAAGTTGGCAACACTAGCCAAACATCTAATGCGACACGATTTTTCTCTTTACTACTCTGTGTAAACAGGCAGCGCCTTTCTGAACAGTAGAGACAAACAATTAATTAAATATGTTATGTATTTTTATGCTGTACTTAATTAAGTCTTTAAAAGCTGTATATATACTATCTCTTATAAATTACATTAGAGCTATACATGATATTTATGATCCTATTATCGAATTTTAAATACAGGCTCTAGATCAGGGAAGGATTTGCACATAAGCTAAGCAAGTTGCAGCATAGTGCATCGCGTTATGAATCTATAACTATGGACTTCACATTTTTACATGTTTCATTATTTGGTAGATGGAAAGGGCTTGTCATATTTTATAATTTAAGGCTACAAGTCTAAGTCGAGCCCTGCTCTAGATAATAACAATCGAATCTGTGCCTATCTAAGATCCGTAAAAACACTAGGTTCCTAAACAAAACTTTAAACTTTTATAAAAAAAACATTTTGTAATTTAATAGTTTTTAGCCAATCAAAATTAAGAATATATTATTAAATAAACGAGATAAAAACTTCAAAGATGATGAACGAGTAAGACGTGATGATGGAGATTCTTGAAAGATAAAGAACCCAATATATATATATATATATATATATTATATCATAAAAATAATAACCGAATTATTTGCTTAATTGCTGTAGAAGATAACAATTTTTATGATTAGACTCATAAAATTGTCGTTAATTTTTCAAATAGTCGATTTAATGAGCTCATAAAGATATGAAACTATCGTTAACGATTGTAAAAATCAGTTAAAGTTATATATTAATAATAAAAGTAATGCTATTTTTCAATATATTTGATTAATTATGAATGAATAGCTTTGACATTCATAAATAAGAGTTGAAACTTATGCAGCAATTTTTGCTTCATTTATCAAGAGATAACAATTTACAAAATGTATAGGTTTTTTTTAAGGTTACTCTCTAAAATTTTCTTCTTGTATACTTATAATATTAAAAAAATAAGTAAAATTAAGTAAATATTAAAGACAATATCATAAATTAAGTTTAATTAAATTAATTATTACATAATAATTTCTGCTTTAAACGAGAAATTAAGCTCACGTAAAGCAAAAACAACCGTTTGGATTCAAAATGGCTTATTATAATCTCGAAAATTTAAACTTTTAACCAAACACTATCGCTGAATTCATAAAATTTTACAAAGTACAATCAGACAGAAGGACAGACAAAGCAAAATAATCAAATTATTATTAAAAGAAGACAGTTTAATTCGATTTTAACTTTGACATTCAGCTCTTCAGAACGAATATCAAAGTTCACGAAGAAGATAAGATTTAATGTTATTTACGTAATATATATCAATTAATTTTAATTATTTATATAAATATGATTTAAAACAGATTAAAATTACTTTAAAAAAAATAATATTAAAAATCTTACCTGGATTCTTCGATTGGGTGATAAAGCGTTAACATCTTGGGATGTTTGAAACGATCTAACTGCCTTACACTAAATCTTAATATTTCTGTTATTGTTTCTTTTCTTTTTGGTTTATGAAGTTTATCAGCTAATCTCTTTTCGAAAAAGAAAACAGAAGCTTCCTATAAATAAATAAATAAATTATAAAATTATAATTCATTTTGTCTCAATCTCTTACGATATATGAGGTTAAATCAATAAATTATATACAGCTATAAACATATAAACGGGGACAGAGAGGTGAGATGAAACCCCTGTCAGTCACATGTAAAGGCCTCCACCCCAATGGCGCGTTATATCGCCATTGGGATGGTAATTCGCCATTGCTCCACTCCTCTTCTAAAGCAACGAATAAAACAAATAAAGGCAGATTTCCCCCACTTATCAAAAGAAATGGAGATTTATTTTTATTTTATTCTTTTTTAATTTAACACTTAAATATTCGATTCTTCATTGTCCTGGACCCGAACTAAATGGTTTCTTCTGTCTAAATCTGGTGGCTAAGTGATTCTACAGGCCCTTCTCCATCTATAGTATCTGGACTTATAGGTTATACATCATATGCAAGGCCTCTCATAGGTAAAGAGAAAGTACTTTCATTGACTTTATGAGGCCCCAGTGTATTAAATCGAAAAAAACATTACAGAATTGCGCTATATTTTATAGATAATAAAATTTGATAGAGTATACATAAGTATATATCTATAAATGATTCTGTTGGACCCTACTGTCGGCTCCTCTCTATCCGGATCTAAAGGTTGGATAGAGGGCCAACAGAGCCATTTGGTTCGGCCCTAGATACTCAGAAGGGTCCAAAATTTCCTTTAGTATAGAGGTAACATATTATTAAATTATCTACTCCCTACGCATAATTAAAAGATTATTAATTTATCTTATTACAATAGGAAATAAAAATATCTTTGTTTATCGATACATTTATAACTAATTTAATTAACTTTAAAGGATTAATAATAATAATATTTGTTACATCACAGAGGAATATTATAAATAGAACTAATTTAAATAAAATTTATAATTCTTTTCTTTAAAAATTGTTGAATTTTGATACTTTTAAAAGATTTCTAATGACTTTTGGCGACTATTTAAAAAAAATACAGTTTATAATTGAATTATAAAACAAAAAATAAAATATTCTTATTACTTTGTGTATTATAATGTTAAATTACTGGCGTATTGGAGAGCCTCGCGTCGGATCGCGTCATGTCGCGTCACGTGTAAACTTTTAACGTTCTATTTACTTGTTTATTTTTCAAATAAAATCAAACTTTAAGCGTTAGAATGTTTTAATAGAAACAAAAATGATTATTAAATTTTCATTCATTATGTTGTTGATATTTAATTTATACTTAATTATATTGGTTGTGCGGCGAGAGCGCGTACGTCGCGTCGCGAGCATTTAAATTCATATTTATTTGTTTAAATTTATATATATTTATTTTCTTTTAGAAAATACTTCAATAAGTTAATTTATGGAGTTTATGAATAAATACTAAGAGAAATATTTTAAATTTTAAACTAATTTTAGATACGCGTGGAGAGACGAAAAGCGACGCGACCTTCTCGAGTCACTTCACATTACTTATAAAGTTCGGTCAACTTCTACAGACTTTGAAAAAAAATTAAAGCTTATATAGTTAATTATTACTTAATTTGAAGGCGTTTTAACTTAATTAAACACTTTTTAAATTTAAAATTACATTTTAAAAGTAAAAAAAGTCACAGTGAAAGTTAATCTGTGCGCTCGACTTAGCAACATTTTCCTTTAAAAAATACGCAATTAAACTAATTAAAATTAATTTAAAAACATACAGATTTATTCAGAAATATATTTAAGAAATTAATGCATAAAATATCATTTAATAATTTTAAAAAAACACTGTTTTTTAAGCTTAAGATATTCATAAAAGTTGTTTTTTTTCTAAACAAAATAAATAAATAATTTTATAAAAATAATTTTAAATAATTCAACTATTAATTATTTTATATAAATAATCTATTATAAAAGTTTATACTTATATAAAAACCTTTAAAAAACTTAATATTTTATCTCATAATCAACACAAAACTAAGGAGTAAGAAACCAGTCGAGTACCCCCCACTTATTAGCATCTCGACACTTGAATACGAGTAGATGTAGAGTCGATATTAATTCATTTTTTAAAATAAAAATGTCGCTGAATTAAATTATTTTTTACTAATTCTTTAAGTCACATTTTCTTTCTTTTTCTTTTTTCTTTCCCATCTTCTTCTTTTCTAGTCGACTATCCTAAGAGTTTTAGAAGTAATTGTTTGGGTCAACGAAGCCAGTGCAAAATGTTCTTGTGTCTCTGATGAAGTCTTTATCTCACTGTAATTGGCAACATGTAGTCTTCTACTCTCCCTCTGTTGCTATAGTAACAATCTACCTTCACTTCGTAAACAGGTATTAACGCAAAATGTTCTTATAGGAAGAAAACGAGAGAAAAATGGGAAATGATTTTTTGTAACACTTTCATAAACACAAATTTAAATTGTTTAAAGAGAGAGGTAGGGGAGGAATAAATATCCTATTTTTTTCTGCTGTTTAATGCTTAATTTAACATAATAATATCCAAGTATTTACTGAAACTCTTTTACAACAAAGGATATTAATATTTTAAAACGTGGACACAAAAATACAGCTTTTTAATGATGTTAATTAAAATGAAATTATTTAAATAGTTTTTATGGTATAATTTAACACAAATAAGTAAATTTTTAATGAGGAGAAGACATTCGTGTGATGAAAGATGCTATTTTATAGATGAAAGGATAAGATGGAAACTTTGTATTGATGGCATTTAGAGCGAAAAATTAAAATTATAATTAATTTTAATGCAATTTTTATTGCTTAAAACCGCATAATTATTAGTGGAAAGGGATGGAGGAAAAGAGAGAACGATAGATAAAATACATTGTATAGGACGTTGATGACTAATGAATTACCTTCTGACAGTTAATTCCCTCTCTACACAAATCGAATAGCAAGTACCAATGACAAATACTAACTCAAGCTATATAAATATAATGAGATTAGAAACCATCAATACACTAATTGATGGTTTCTGTGGTGAATTAAATAAATAATTCTTCCGCATCCTCTCAAAAAAAAACCAATAATTCTAAGTTAAAATATGAGTAAATATTGCGTAATTTTTAGTGTATTTTTAATTTCAAATTAGATTTTCTCGTTGTACTCGATATATAAAAAGGAAACTAACTTACACTCCAAAGATGTAATGTGATTTGTGGCTTTTTAATGTCGATCTCAATGCTCTCTCCCTATTCAAAAAATAGTAATTCTAACTAAAATAAATGATAAAAGCGTAAAGAAAATCATTAAAAATAGATTTCTAATCTTAAAATATTTAATTTTATGGCCAATTTTATATAGTGCTCATCTAAATTCGTTCCGTTCCGAGGATATAAAGGCTATTCTGCTTAATAAAAGACATTAATTTAAGGCAANTTCCTCTTTTTCCAGATATTTTTTTTAAAAATTAATTAATTATTTAATTAAATTATAATTAATTACCCACCATATCTAATTGTTTATTATAATTTGTTGAACTTAAATTCGCTTCGATTAATGATCTTCCATTATTAAATATGGCACATATTAATAGTCCTAAAGAGAACATATCACTTAAAGGTGAGCAGGTCGATGTCGCTTGTACCTCAGGTGCTGTAAAATCTATATCAGGCTGGCCCATTTTCGGTAACTTAGAAGTAAACGGCTGACAAGGCACGGGACTCTGAAACATAAGGTGAAATTCATCCCTTGAGAGTAGTAACATTAACAATAATTGAAACGTTATTTACGGTGCTACAATTAAAGTGTAACTGTATATAAAATTATAACTATATGAAATAAATTGTTCATGAATAGGTTAATTCTGTGAGGAAATTAAGCTTAAAAATGCCTTAAAACTGAAAAAAATGGCGATTTTAAAGCACGTATATGTCTATTCGATTTGGTTGGATAATGCAAATTTTTACGTAAATTTGACGTCATTCTTTAAAACTTTCATTGTAAAACTGTTCCGACGACATCAATTTGACGTAAAAATAAAGTCAATACTTCTGAAAGTTACAAATTTTTAAATTTAAATCGTTAAAGACACGCCCACATTTTAATTTCAACAATCTGCATTATTAAAATTACATCTTAAACATATCACAGAGGACCACCTATATTAATAAATACATTTCTATTTAATTTTGCCTATTCCATAACTCTCCAAATTCATCATATTCATTAACAATGCATTTTATTTACATATAAAGTAAACTACTGATGAATACGTTAACTCCATATGGTAATTAAGCTTAATTAAAATTAGTTATGAAAACTAAATGTTAGAAAACTGCAAATTTTTGAAATTTAAATTGATTAAGATCCGCCTTGTTAATTATGATATCAACTAATTTCAAATAGAAATTAAAAAGTAAACGTGTCTTTTAGTCGTTAAAATTATATCTTAAACATATTGCAGAGACCCACTTCTGTTAATAAATGTATATAACTGTAATTTCGCCCATTCTACAACTCCCAAACTCACCATATCCATTAGCAGTTAACTATATATGTATATATAAACATCTTTATCATGCAAATTGCAATATAATAATCATCTGATTAATGATAAATCTCGAGAAAGTTTTATCTGTTATATGTTTATCTATTAACCACTTAAAGCATTAGTGAAATTAATAATAATAATAATATCTCGCGAAGAGCATAATTAAGTTATTAAATGCAAATAAAGATATTTGAAGAAAATTAATTACCATTAAGTCCGATTCATTGCATTTTTCAGCAAACTCTAATCCTGATAATTTCCAAGTGCCTCGCCTGTTGATGATCACAGATTGTGGACATAAATTCCGATGAATTAATTTACAGGAATAATGAAGAAAGGATAACGCTTCAGTTAACTGTAAAATGTAAGAAAAAATAATACAAAATCGATATTTCATCAAAAAAAAAATATATATATATTACAATTATTCTCTTGTTATATAAACCTCATAGCAAATTATGATCAGTATTTATTCATTGATTTTCCTAAGGCTTTATCTAAAATATAAATTGGGAAAGTAAATAAATAAACAAGACAATTGACTCGTTCGATCTAAACAAATCTAATTAGGAAGCATTTCTTTCTTCTTCTTGGATTTATTATTTTAACAATTGAGCAACCACTAAATAGGAATTTAAATCATCGAAAAAGGCTTAGTTTTTCCTTATTTTAACACAATTTTTGAATAAAGACGTATCAAACTTTATGCTTTCTAATGAGTAGGCTTTAAACGGTAATAAATTTTTGTCAATTTTAAACAGATATCCATTAGACAACACTTATAAATAAGGAACGTAAAGAGGATACCTGAAGGAGGCCATATTTAATCTCTATGTCTAAGAAGGTGTAATCTCTAACGGACGATGGGAGATTTTGTGGTAATCTTTCTTCCAAACATCCCAGGATGTTGGCTAAACTTCCCAATACAGGTTCAGTGGCGAATGCTAGAGTTTCACTAAAAAATAAAAGGACTAAAAATATATTTAACCTCTCTTTGTTTTTCTTAATCTTCTTAATATAATAACTAGTTTTAACTGGAATTTGTTACTCTGTATACACAATTCTTTCGATAGATTTTTAAATATAAACCTTTAAAAGATATATATATTTTTTAATAAATAGAAAAGATATAAATAGAGTAATTTAGAATTGTTTTAAGTTTAAAAATAATTATTTTGTTGTAAGTAGCAATGAATTAGGATGTAGTAGCATACTTTTTAAAATTTATCTTTTTGGATTTCTTCACCTGTACAGATTAATCAATTTTATACGAAGCAGTTCACAATTTTATTACTTTTACAAGAAACTGAATTATATACATACAAGAAACAACAAATTGTACAAGAAACAGAGCTGTTTCTTATACAATTCATTTATTATTTCGTCTATCTGTAAGCCTACAACCTTCTTGTACTGTACAAATTGTTTCTTGTATGTGTACAATCTCTTCTTTGTACAAGTCCTTGTTTTTGTTTCTTGTACCAACATATAATTACGAAATAAATCGAAAAAAATTCATAATAAATTTTAATATTTAGCAAAAAAAAACTTTATTAATTTTATCATATTTTCGACATAAATTACACTAAATTAAGGAATTTTTCATGCATTTTTGCGATAATTTAAACGCTTAAAATCGTGCTTTAAACGGTTCAAAAACGTAGAAAGAAGTAACATTTTCAAAACAAATTTAATTAAATAAGCTTTAAAAAATAGATTAAGAATATTTTAATTGTGAATTAACTTATAAATTGAATTAACTCATGCAATTTAACTAAACATCATTAAATTACTTTCATATATAAAAGCGTGCTAATTTGTTAAAATTCGAATTCAAATATTCAATTAATAAACTACAAAACCAGACAAATTTTATAAGAGAATTAAAAAGCCAACAAATTATTTATAAGTCATTGTAACTAAAATGCATCGTGTTATTGAAAATATGTCAATTTATTATTATTCGAACGTGATTGGTTGATTTAAAATTTTTTAAAATTCAAATTAACGGATCATTTGTAAGAAAAATTCAATTTACGACGGATAAATTCAGAAATTTTAAGATTAAAAATAGAAGATTATTTGTAATATGATCCGCAATCTTTATTAAACCATTATATTTTCTGAAATAATTATAAAAATCTTGTTATTCAAACTATCCTTAACAGATAAAGATTCGTTAAATTATAAAAATAAAAGTTAAAGTAATAATGATAAATTTTATCCAATTTAGATTAAAAATTTGGCCAAAAAATTGGATATTTCTTGTGCAGAAAGACAGATGGTGCTACCAGTACTGACTCTGATGGTTTTAAATTCTACAATGCTCCAGGCACAAACACGTACTTGTGATGACTTCTTTATTATACTATATAACCCATATCATACAATACTTAGGGTCATATGAGGTCTACTACAGCCAGTATTCCGAAGCACGTATTTGCACTAAAAGCGCGACACTCTACGTAAGCGTGAATTCACAATGCCTCTTTTATATAAGTGCAAAGCTGATATTACATAATACTTGATGTTGTACAATTTAGGACCTAGCTAATACTGGATTTTTAGTATTGCACGAAGATCGATTACCGATAAACTTATGTCTACGCCTCTAAAAGCGCGAAGACCTAGATAAGTATATGGGGAAGTAAGCCCATAAATGGCGTATCTTAAAACAAGCGATATCATGCAAACAAATGTAATTTCGAAAAAGATTTATATTATATACACAAACGAATATATGCCACATTGAATAATACTTTTCTGATTAGGCTTTTGTGTAAAGAAATGATGATAAAAAGTAAATCTCAATGTGTCATTATGCCAGCATAATTGTGGGAAAAGCGACATATGCCACTATACATAAGCGAAGCTCTACTCATTGTATAGATCACAAATGTTTTGGAATGGCAAAAAAGTTCATCACATTCCGTATGACTACATTTCTTACATTTTGTACACTTAATCCAAGTCTCCTTCGAACGAGATTGAAGATACAACTCATTGCAATGAGTTATATCTTCAATCTCGTTGGTTACTTCCATCTTTGGATTTCTGTAGGCCTTAGATCTTAATTTAAAAAGTAAAACATTTTATAAAGTTCATTTGTAAATGTTTGTTTCTTGTCCTCATATTTTTACCCTGTACTCTTCTTCGCAGAGTAGGTTGTGGAAAGTGTTTGCATCTACCAATCGATTTCGTTATTCTTTATAATTGAAATTGATCGTTTCATTGATTCACTAATAAGTTGGTCGCGGGTTCGTGCCTTACCAACAAAGTGGCCGCGTGTGTTTCGAGTTTCTTTGGCCTAAATACGGGCTAACTTCCCGTAGAAAGTCTCCCGGAGAGTTCTCCCCGGAAGACTGCTCACTGCTCATATGTTGCGTTGACTATCCCACTAATCCTGCAATTCTTCTTATTGATTTCGAAGACCAATTCTGCATACGGCTCTTTCTTTTGTAATTGTAAAGAAAAAAACAGTCTACATTAGGGTATAGTCTGGAGATGCATAAATACGTTTAAGGGCAATTTGCCTTTTACTGTACTGTCATTTTGCCTGCAGAGAGTAGTTTATAAAAAGTTGGCAACACTAGCCAAACATCTAATGCGACACGATTTTTCTCTTTACTACTCTGTGTAAACAGGCAGCGCCTTTCTGAACAGTAGAGACAAACAATTAATTAAATATGTTATGTATTTTTATGCTGTACTTAATTAAGTCTTTAAAAGCTGTATATATACTATCTCTTATAAATTACATTAGAGCTATACATGATATTTATGATCCTATTATCGAATTTTAAATACAGGCTCTAGATCAGGGAAGGATTTGCACATAAGCTAAGCAAGTTGCAGCATAGTGCATCGCGTTATGAATCTATAACTATGGACTTCACATTTTTACATGTTTCATTATTTGGTAGATGGAAAGGGCTTGTCATATTTTATAATTTAAGGCTACAAGTCTAAGTCGAGCCCTGCTCTAGATAATAACAATCGAATCTGTGCCTATCTAAGATCCGTAAAAACACTAGGTTCCTAAACAAAACTTTAAACTTTTATAAAAAAAACATTTTGTAATTTAATAGTTTTTAGCCAATCAAAATTAAGAATATATTATTAAATAAACGAGATAAAAACTTCAAAGATGATGAACGAGTAAGACGTGATGATGGAGATTCTTGAAAGATAAAGAACCCAATATATATATATATATATATATATTATATCATAAAAATAATAACCGAATTATTTGCTTAATTGCTGTAGAAGATAACAATTTTTATGATTAGACTCATAAAATTGTCGTTAATTTTTCAAATAGTCGATTTAATGAGCTCATAAAGATATGAAACTATCGTTAACGATTGTAAAAATCAGTTAAAGTTATATATTAATAATAAAAGTAATGCTATTTTTCAATATATTTGATTAATTATGAATGAATAGCTTTGACATTCATAAATAAGAGTTGAAACTTATGCAGCAATTTTTGCTTCATTTATCAAGAGATAACAATTTACAAAATGTATAGGTTTTTTTTAAGGTTACTCTCTAAAATTTTCTTCTTGTATACTTATAATATTAAAAAAATAAGTAAAATTAAGTAAATATTAAAGACAATATCATAAATTAAGTTTAATTAAATTAATTATTACATAATAATTTCTGCTTTAAACGAGAAATTAAGCTCACGTAAAGCAAAAACAACCGTTTGGATTCAAAATGGCTTATTATAATCTCGAAAATTTAAACTTTTAACCAAACACTATCGCTGAATTCATAAAATTTTACAAAGTACAATCAGACAGAAGGACAGACAAAGCAAAATAATCAAATTATTATTAAAAGAAGACAGTTTAATTCGATTTTAACTTTGACATTCAGCTCTTCAGAACGAATATCAAAGTTCACGAAGAAGATAAGATTTAATGTTATTTACGTAATATATATCAATTAATTTTAATTATTTATATAAATATGATTTAAAACAGATTAAAATTACTTTAAAAAAAATAATATTAAAAATCTTACCTGGATTCTTCGATTGGGTGATAAAGCGTTAACATCTTGGGATGTTTGAAACGATCTAACTGCCTTACACTAAATCTTAATATTTCTGTTATTGTTTCTTTTCTTTTTGGTTTATGAAGTTTATCAGCTAATCTCTTTTCGAAAAAGAAAACAGAAGCTTCCTATAAATAAATAAATAAATTATAAAATTATAATTCATTTTGTCTCAATCTCTTACGATATATGAGGTTAAATCAATAAATTATATACAGCTATAAACATATAAACGGGGACAGAGAGGTGAGATGAAACCCCTGTCAGTCACATGTAAAGGCCTCCACCCCAATGGCGCGTTATATCGCCATTGGGATGGTAATTCGCCATTGCTCCACTCCTCTTCTAAAGCAACGAATAAAACAAATAAAGGCAGATTTCCCCCACTTATCAAAAGAAATGGAGATTTATTTTTATTTTATTCTTTTTTAATTTAACACTTAAATATTCGATTCTTCATTGTCCTGGACCCGAACTAAATGGTTTCTTCTGTCTAAATCTGGTGGCTAAGTGATTCTACAGGCCCTTCTCCATCTATAGTATCTGGACTTATAGGTTATACATCATATGCAAGGCCTCTCATAGGTAAAGAGAAAGTACTTTCATTGACTTTATGAGGCCCCAGTGTATTAAATCGAAAAAAACATTACAGAATTGCGCTATATTTTATAGATAATAAAATTTGATAGAGTATACATAAGTATATATCTATAAATGATTCTGTTGGACCCTACTGTCGGCTCCTCTCTATCCGGATCTAAAGGTTGGATAGAGGGCCAACAGAGCCATTTGGTTCGGCCCTAGATACTCAGAAGGGTCCAAAATTTCCTTTAGTATAGAGGTAACATATTATTAAATTATCTACTCCCTACGCATAATTAAAAGATTATTAATTTATCTTATTACAATAGGAAATAAAAATATCTTTGTTTATCGATACATTTATAACTAATTTAATTAACTTTAAAGGATTAATAATAATAATATTTGTTACATCACAGAGGAATATTATAAATAGAACTAATTTAAATAAAATTTATAATTCTTTTCTTTAAAAATTGTTGAATTTTGATACTTTTAAAAGATTTCTAATGACTTTTGGCGACTATTTAAAAAAAATACAGTTTATAATTGAATTATAAAACAAAAAATAAAATATTCTTATTACTTTGTGTATTATAATGTTAAATTACTGGCGTATTGGAGAGCCTCGCGTCGGATCGCGTCATGTCGCGTCACGTGTAAACTTTTAACGTTCTATTTACTTGTTTATTTTTCAAATAAAATCAAACTTTAAGCGTTAGAATGTTTTAATAGAAACAAAAATGATTATTAAATTTTCATTCATTATGTTGTTGATATTTAATTTATACTTAATTATATTGGTTGTGCGGCGAGAGCGCGTACGTCGCGTCGCGAGCATTTAAATTCATATTTATTTGTTTAAATTTATATATATTTATTTTCTTTTAGAAAATACTTCAATAAGTTAATTTATGGAGTTTATGAATAAATACTAAGAGAAATATTTTAAATTTTAAACTAATTTTAGATACGCGTGGAGAGACGAAAAGCGACGCGACCTTCTCGAGTCACTTCACATTACTTATAAAGTTCGGTCAACTTCTACAGACTTTGAAAAAAAATTAAAGCTTATATAGTTAATTATTACTTAATTTGAAGGCGTTTTAACTTAATTAAACACTTTTTAAATTTAAAATTACATTTTAAAAGTAAAAAAAGTCACAGTGAAAGTTAATCTGTGCGCTCGACTTAGCAACATTTTCCTTTAAAAAATACGCAATTAAACTAATTAAAATTAATTTAAAAACATACAGATTTATTCAGAAATATATTTAAGAAATTAATGCATAAAATATCATTTAATAATTTTAAAAAAACACTGTTTTTTAAGCTTAAGATATTCATAAAAGTTGTTTTTTTTCTAAACAAAATAAATAAATAATTTTATAAAAATAATTTTAAATAATTCAACTATTAATTATTTTATATAAATAATCTATTATAAAAGTTTATACTTATATAAAAACCTTTAAAAAACTTAATATTTTATCTCATAATCAACACAAAACTAAGGAGTAAGAAACCAGTCGAGTACCCCCCACTTATTAGCATCTCGACACTTGAATACGAGTAGATGTAGAGTCGATATTAATTCATTTTTTAAAATAAAAATGTCGCTGAATTAAATTATTTTTTACTAATTCTTTAAGTCACATTTTCTTTCTTTTTCTTTTTTCTTTCCCATCTTCTTCTTTTCTAGTCGACTATCCTAAGAGTTTTAGAAGTAATTGTTTGGGTCAACGAAGCCAGTGCAAAATGTTCTTGTGTCTCTGATGAAGTCTTTATCTCACTGTAATTGGCAACATGTAGTCTTCTACTCTCCCTCTGTTGCTATAGTAACAATCTACCTTCACTTCGTAAACAGGTATTAACGCAAAATGTTCTTATAGGAAGAAAACGAGAGAAAAATGGGAAATGATTTTTTGTAACACTTTCATAAACACAAATTTAAATTGTTTAAAGAGAGAGGTAGGGGAGGAATAAATATCCTATTTTTTTCTGCTGTTTAATGCTTAATTTAACATAATAATATCCAAGTATTTACTGAAACTCTTTTACAACAAAGGATATTAATATTTTAAAACGTGGACACAAAAATACAGCTTTTTAATGATGTTAATTAAAATGAAATTATTTAAATAGTTTTTATGGTATAATTTAACACAAATAAGTAAATTTTTAATGAGGAGAAGACATTCGTGTGATGAAAGATGCTATTTTATAGATGAAAGGATAAGATGAAAACTTTGTATTGATGGCATTTAGAGCGAAAAATTAAAATTATAATTAATTTTAATGCAATTTTTATTGCTTAAAACCGCATAATTATTAGTGGAAAGGGATGGAGGAAAAGAGAGAACGATAGATAAAATACATTGTATAGGACGTTGATGACTAATGAATTACCTTCTGACAGTTAATTCCCTCTCTACACAAATCGAATAGCAAGTACCAATGACAAATGCTAACTCAAGCTATATAAATATAATGAGATTAGAAACCATCAATACACTAATTGATGGTTTCTGTGGTGAATTAAATAAATAATTCTTCCGCATCCTCTCAAAAAAAAACCAATAATTCTAAGTTAAAATATGAGTAAATATTGCGTAATTTTTAGTGTATTTTTAATTTCAAATTAGATTTTCTCGTTGTACTCGATATATAAAAAGGAAACTAACTTACACTCCAAAGATGTAATGTGATTTGTGGCTTTTTAATGTCGATCTCAATGCTCTCTCCCTATTCAAAAAATAGTAATTCTAACTAAAATAAATGATAAAAGCGTAAAGAAAATCATTAAAAATAGATTTCTAATCTTAAAATATTTAATTTTATGGCCAATTTTATATAGTGCTCATCTAAATTCGTTCCGTTCCGAGGATATAAAGGCTATTCTGCTTAATAAAAGACATTAATTTAAGGCAATAAATTAATAAAATTAATAAAAAAAATCTTTGGTGATATATCTTCAATATAATTTTTAATTTAAGTTTCTGCTGCACTCAAATTAAGAAAGGAAACATCTTAATATAGCTATGATTTTTTGCAGGGGAATAAAATGCTCTTTCTACACTAAAAAAAATATATATATAATTTCAAATAAAATATAATGGAAAATACTATTAAATACTATTAAATATATTTCCTAATATATAATAAATTCAATTATTTTGCTTTATTGCATTTAAATCAGTAAAATATAATTTGAAATGACGCACTTTTAGTAATATTTTATATAATTTAAAAGTGCATTTTTTTATTAAAAAAGGCCAAAATTTCAATAAAAGTAGTTTCAATAAACATTCAATAAATTAAATACGTTTTCTACATTAATTTAAACTTAATTTTATATGATTAAATCGATTAATTTGATTTAAACCACGCGTAGAAACTAGAAAGTGAACTACGCGCCGCACTAAATAAATGCCATTTCCAGGCTTAAAAGTACAATAAACCAATCTAAAATTATTTTAAATAGATAGAAAATATCATTAAATATATTCAGTAACCAAATTTTATTAGATTTTATTATTGTTTTTATAATTTAAATGCAATAATCTGAAGAGAAGCTTTCTTTTTTTACTAACACTCCGTAAAGGTTTCAGGATAGAAAAACAATAATTCCAATTAAAATATAATAATTTAAATCGACATGTAATAAATTAAATTTACTTTTTTTTGTAACAATTACAACTCGATTCTTATTTCTTTGAACTGATTTAAGAACGAAAATTAATTAAAACCGCTCATAGAAACCGACAAATCAAAGCACCGCGCTTAAATAAATGTCATCTATGGATTCAAAAAGGCCATAAACCAATCCAAAAATAGCTTAAATCGATAGAAAGGAAGCATCACTCGATTTTTTTTAAAAAAAAAGATAGAAAAAATATAAATAAATAAATTTTAAATAATAATATTTTTCTACAATAAACCTCATCCTTCGCTCGGGGTTTACAATTGTGATTAAAGGTGGTAAATGGAAGTTATACAGATTGCGGAAATGCATGTCACTCTGGAAAATTAATTATGGCGTAAATCCACGATAATTGATTCTGAACTACCTGTCTATCAACAAGCGGCGATAAGAGCGGGTATTAAATGCAAAAACCAGGTTTTAAAATTAACGTTTAACCGAATATTTCCTCTTCATTCCGCTTCTACTTTGAAGTTTATTACTAGAAATCACTTTAATTTTTTTTCTTTTCTTTTTTTTCCTTAATTTTTCAATAATTTAAACATCCGCATTATCTTTCGGCGCTTATAAATTGATTTTTCTCTTCTTCTGTGGTTAATTATTACT